TAGAAGCATGGCACATTCATTCAGATGAACTCTGGATCGGGTTTTAAAGTCAATATGAATGGGAAGTCGTAACAACATTTGTGACGTATTTGCGAGTGAAACTAATTCATTACATCTTTAGTGTCTAAAGTGACTCATAAATGAGTTCTATATAGAACCATTTCATGCTTAAATGGGTCTTTGCATGGCGAAACGGTTCTTCAGATTAATGGAGAATATTATGTGAAGCTTCACCAAAAAGCATTCTTCTATTGTTTCAATGTCAAGCTTTGAACAATAAAAGAACTCCATCCATCTGAAGAACTCTTTCATGATGAAAAGAATTATTACATTCATTACATCCTTACAAAAGTGACACAAGAGCGTGTTTACATGCACTTAAGCTACGTTCACATTACAAGCCCTGTTGCTCAAATCCGATTTTTCGCTCAAATCCGATCTCTCTGACAGGATGGTTCACGCTCGCTTAGGTAAGTGACTCAAATCTGTCATTAATGTGATGAACCGGCGTCCTGAAATGACCCTCATGAGCTCATCCTACTCAGTAACGTCACGTGAATGAATCACATTCATCATCAGCACAAACTAACGAGCAGAACGAGCTTCGCTGTGAAGATCATTAACTCTGATCAGCTCTCAGCTTCATTATTAGAGCGAGACGAAGGAGAAAAAGGTGAGATGCGCTGTTGCCATGGTAACGCTGAATGATGGCGCACGCGCAGTGGAAAAAAAGCACATGAATTCTGATCTGAGAGTTCACATTAAGGTCGCATGGCCATGAATCGGATAAGTATCCGATCTAGGAACACATATGAAAGTGCCTCAGGTCGGATTTGAAAAGATCAGATTTGCGTGTTCACACTGATCTGAAAACACCAGATCTGAGTAACATTCGGGCAAAAAATCAGATTTGTGCCACTTCAACCTGGTAATGTGAACGTAGCCTTAATAATCCGATAACTGCAGAAAATCAGATTTTGTCAGTAATCTGAACAATGCGTTTACATGCACTTAAGTAATCAGATAATGGGGAAAATTCGGGTCTACATGAGTCAGACAGTAATCAGATTTCTGCTTTGCAACCAGCCAGTAAACTCACAGAAAAAGACGTGATGTAAACGTAACATAAAACTCAAACTCCATGCTGCAGCTTTTTAAACATCGCGCCACTTTACCTGAAAATATGAACATACGTCATCTAGAAGACGAAGAATATTTAAATCATTCATCAAGCATGTATTTGGCTTCAGCGTCGCTCCAAAAGTGTTTTACTGCGTCTCGCGGCGACGCTGCTTACTTATTTCCAGTACCGCCGTCTGTTTTCGCACATGCCCAGACTGAGAAATACGAAAGAAATCGGACTAAGAGTTTACAGCACTGAGAAATCTGATTACTGAGCTCAAATCCAGCCTCCTTACCAGATTTCTTAATCGGATTTCTAGACCTTACTCTGATCTAAGAAATCAAAGTGTGCTGTTTACATGACCATTTGAATAATCAGATAACTGCAAAAAGCTGATTAGGATTGGATTTTTGAGTGCATGTAAACAGACTCAGAAGTGACTTATAAAACCTGTATTTGAACCAGAGCACAATAATTACATACATCATGTGAGCAGCTGGACTTCATCCTGACTATTGACACATTTATTGTCTTTTTGGCTGATCTAAACAAAAAAAGACCACCCTTCCTCCCCACAATGAGGGGATTTAGCTCCTCTTTGATGATCATCAGCAAGCCGACTGTGAGTTAAAGGGCAAGGGTGCTTGGAATGCAAACCATCATCTTTGTGGGGGGAGTTATGAGTGGAGGTCTCTAATTGGGCTCTAAATGTCACCAGCTGGTGATATGAGAGAGAAATGAAGTCACAGGGTGGCATTTCCGCTCAGTCTGACCGGCTTTGACCTCAGCGGCCGCAGAGAGACCAGAGAAAACCAATGATAGTAAAGGGAATGGTTCAATTTAGAACTATGAGTTCTATATAGAACCATTTCATGCTTAAATGGTTCTTTGCACGGTGAAATGGTTCTTTAGATTAATGGAGAATACTATGTGAGGAATCTATATAGCACCAAAAAGGGTTCTTCTATTGTTTCAGTGTCAAGCTTGTAAGAATAGAAGAACACTTTATGGTGCTACACAGAACCCTTTTCAAAACAGTTCTAAATAGAATCATCCACAGCATATTCTCCATGAATCTGAAGAACCGCTAAATAACCCTTTCACAATGCAAAGAACCATTTAATCATGCAAAAGGTTCTTTAGGTGTTCATGATTCTGTATAGAACCATCTTCTTTATTAAAGAACCCTTGAAGAATTATAATTTTTATGTGTGTAGAACTATTTTTAAAAAAGTTCTGTATAGAACCATAAACAATACATTCGCCATCAATCTGAAGAACCCTTTCATAATGCAAAGAATCCTTTAATCATGCAAAGGGTTCTTTTTTGAGTGTTTATGATTCTGTATAGAACCATTTTCTTTACTAAAGAACCCTTGAAACACCATCATTTTTAAGTAGGGTTCTATATAGAACCCTCTCCAACACATTCTCCATCAATCTGAAGAACCATTTCACCATGTGAAGGCCCATTTAAGCATGAAATGGTTCTATATAGCACCGTTCCTTTTAATAAAGAACCATCGAAGAACCATCTTTTTAAGAATGTAAGATAAGATAATCCTTTATTAGTCCCACAACAGGGAAATGCTCAGTGTTACAGAAAGGGAGAGCAAGACACTCAAGAAAAGAAAAGAAGAAAGAAGAAGAGAATTAACAAGTGAGTAATTAACCTTGTTAATTACCTTAATTATCCTTGTTAATTACTTAACAAGATTTTTTTACAGTTTGTTACTTGTGAATATATAGACAGTATATATAATACTAAAAGTAAAAAATAAGATAAAAAATATAAACTCTATCCTTCAAAAATTAGCACTATAAAGAATTCTAAATAGATAAATACCTTACAGTGTAAATACCTACACTACAGTACACTACAGTGTAAGGTATTTACACTGTAAGCATATTTTGCCTGAAATTCACATGGAGAATGTAGCTATAATGGAGTTTTTCCAGAAATGCTGCTGCCAGAAACATTCCGGAATGTTTCAAATACAAAATTCCAGCTCTAAGCCTGATTATGAAATGTATTTAGGAACCAGCTTTTGGAAAAATCTTCGGGAAACACCCTGAAAGACGTGTTTAATTTATTTAAATACAGAAAAGCCTTTAAATGAGGGAATAAGTCTGCATGGCAGAGTATGGCAGGGTGCTAATGACAGGTAACTTTTAGCAGCGTTCTCACAGTCTTTGAAGGGTGTGCAGTGGTGCATTATGCTAATCTCATTCTCAGGACTAAAATAAATCTGACTACACCTCCACATCTGACACCATCAAGACACCTAAAGCGCTCCAGCAGCACAGATTCGTTAGTGTTGACGTATCGTTCTGCCAAAATGTTTTAGAGGAAAAGAGTGAGAGACTTCGAGGTTCTTCAAACATGTTTTAATGGGGAGTCAAATCTCATAGAACAGTTTTAGCAGAGGCCTGATGAGCACAGTGATGTAAACATTAGGGCCTGACTGATATACTGTTTAACCGATAAAACTGGTCGATATTAAGGTCTCACAGATTTAATTGTATTGTTGAAAATCCTGCCAGTAAAGCAATAATAATAATCTTTTTGTATTAAAAGAATTTATATTTATTTGTATAAATTCACAATTTCTGCAGTCTGAACTGCAGACTCAACTGGAGCACTTGAACATAAACCATCAATAAAACAGCAAAAACAAAACTGCTAAGAATTCTGGGAAGCTCCGATGCTGAAAACCAAAAGAAAGAGCTCTGATATATGTAATTTGCCTTTGTATTTATGCTTATGAATTAACCTAATAATGCTGACAGTGCTTCAAGGATGATAATCGCCATGTTAGGGAAAGAGAAACAAGAAGACTAATTTAATTTTAAGCAGATTTCTAAACAATATTACATATTACAAGATGTAAAATTACGATAATAAGACTTCATGACTTCTTAAAGGCATTTAAAGCTGAACTCCAGAGAGCCTCCACTATAACAACGGAAAACACCTCATTTTTTAAAATATGTAAAGCGCATAAACGTGGCTCTGGAACTACTATCCAGCAGTTTGAATAGCAAGGGGCTATTAGCATGCAAGTGAACACACACCAGCGGGATCACACCAACACACAAGTTTACAGACATAATTTTCAGAACCAGAAGTGAAAAAGTTCATAACCAAAAGATATTCTAGAATAGATACAATAGAATAGTGTTGTGTGTTGCGCTGGTACGAGCGGACAAGACACAGCAGTGCTGCTGGAGTTTTTAAACACTGTGTCCACTCACTGTCCACTCTATTAGACACTCCTACCTTGTCAGTCCACCTTGTAGATGTAAAGTCAGAGGCGATAGCTCATCTGCTGCTGCACAGTTTGTGTTGGTCACCCTCTAGTCCTGCATCAGTGGTCACAGGACGCTGCCCACAGGACGCTGTCAGCTGGAAGTTTTTGGTTCTCAGTCCAGCAGCAACACTGAGGTCCAGCAGCACTGCTGTGTCTGATTCACTCGCACCAGCGCAACACACACCAACACACCACCACCACATCAGTGTTACTGCAGTGCTGAAAATGATCCACCACCCAAATAGTACCGGTCCTGTGGGGGTCCTGACCATTAAAGAACAGGGTAACAAAGTATGCAGAGAAACAGATGGACTACAGTCTGTAACTGTAGAACTACAAAGTGAAACTATGTGGTCAGTGGAGCTGATAAAATGGACAATGAGTGTAAAACCAAGGAGGTGGCAACTGAGAACTTAGTCATATTTGTCATATTTTTTAGTCATATTTTAGCTCCTTAAAACTAGCATTATTCTTATTATCAAAATTCTTATTGAATTCTTATTGTTCAATTCACTCCCAAAACCACCGAGAGCTGACAGAGCTGAGGGAACAGGAGCTTCACTCACCCACACTGCTGAGGACGCTGCCTGGCCTTTACCTGCAGGGAGAAGAAGAGACGGACTGTCAGAGCAGGACGAGAAAAAGAGCACGACAAAGCACATTACTGCACTGAGCACACAGCTGTCAGACTGTTTACGCTGCTGTTGTTCTTAAGCTAATAAGACAGACAGCTCAGAGCTGTGCAGTTTATGATGATGTTCATTAATATACTGTTACTGTCAGAGACAAATACAGGGAAAACGATTAAGCACACAGGCTGGGACTCAAATATCACCTAGGCATCACTATGAGGGATATCCAACCCCTTACGATAGTCTGGTGACAAAACAAACACTCAGTTTTCACCCTTACGCCAAATGTAGTCGATCAGCCAAGACCTAAAGTCTGCTTTAGTTTCACACTGGAGCTGAAAATCAACACAAAATTGCCATATTAAAGGGCCAAAACCAAGGAAAATCAAATTGCCTTTGCTATTTTAAAATGAAAAGTCTAATGTAGCTTGTAAACATTGTTAAAGTCTTACAGTGCACCCAGTCCATACAGTCCACATATGGAAACTAAAAATAGCCCGTTTTGAACCCACTGTTTTTGTGATGTCACCAAAACGGTGCTTTTTAAATGAGATGCAATATAGTACAGCCAATCAGAACAGAGCACATTTACATATATAACTCCTAAGGCACAGTAATAAAAAGAGCCTATTTCATTCTAAGGGATAAAGAGAGGTTTAAAATGGTCATGTGAAAATGAAATATGACTATTTTCGGTACACAAATGCCATCAGTGGACCTCAGAGGAAAAAATGAAATATAACAAAATGTTTCTGTCCATTTTTATAGATGACAGTGTGTCATACTGTAATTTTATTACTTGTTGGTTACATTAGCCCTGTAGCTCAAACATGTTTTGACTGATCGACTACATTTGGGAAAAAAGGGAAAGTGGTCAAATAATTTCAAAAATTATCACTAAAATTATCTAAGACAATACATCTACTGTCTTAGATATGGCACCAGCATAACTTGACATGTTTACTTTGTAGGGCTGTTAGCTATAGCATTCTGAACTATTATCAAAGCCCTTATAGGAAGGTCTGTTCACACTGCGGCCATCTTGCAGCATCACCGGGCAGGTATTTCCAGCCATACAAGACGAGACTCCATCTCTTTGATTGGGGAGAGACCTAAAGACTCTTAACTGAAGGCAGTTTCAGGAACGTATTTGAAATTACTAGTAAAATCTGACAAAAATCACATAAATAGTTTGTTCTATTTAGCTCAGTAACGTACAAATAACATATTTTTGGGAGTGTTCTGGCCATTGCACAACTGAGAGGGGCATTTCCCACCTGCGGCATAACCAGCAAGCTGATTGGCTGTTTTTACTGAACGGCTGGGCGTTTTTGGTAACAAGACTCCACGTTGAGCATCACAAACCTTCCCAGTCATATTTCAACCAGTGACCTCCTCCTCCTTTATAATTTCTCTGCTATTACTGCGGCTAGACATAGTGAACAACAAGATGACTCACCAGTCAACAGCATGAAAGTGGTCAGTGGACAATGACATGTTCACAGATGTGTAATTCTTTATAACAACATCACTGCAAACCTCCAGAACTGCTCTTATTAGTAAACAGACCGCTTATACTTCAGTGATTGACCCGTATTTCTATCACTAGAACTACATAACTTGTACAAAAAGGTTGCAGCTGGATTAAAACGGTAAATATTTCTCAATCCTGAACCTAAATTGACTCACTGCTTACTTAACATGTTTAATAAATGAGGATTTTCATTAGTAGGTTGATAATGATAATTCTATAATCCCCAGATTCTGTCATTAATCGTAAAACCAAGCACAGAAACTAAGCTTTTTAAACCCCCTAACAATTAGAAGCCAGAGTTATTACTGTTCTATTGCAAAAATATTTCAATGTAATTATACAATTATATTTATTACAAAGTGAGTTACATAACGAATTACATTTCCAAACACTTGTTTTCTGTTCGTGTTTGCACTTGTGACTGTTTCTCATTGGTTTTGTTTTGAACAAATGACAGATAAACAACAAAAATAAATAAAATAAAAATAAAATAGAAAAGCCCCTTTTTACCCTGTTCTTCAATGGTCAGGACCCCCATGGACCCTCACAGAGCAGGTACTATTTGGGTGGTGGATCATTCTCAGCACTGCAGTAACACTGACGTGGTGGTGGTGTGTTAGTGTGTGTTGTGCTGGTCTGAGTGGATCAGACACAGCAGTGCTGCTGGAGTTTTTAAACACCTCAGTGTCACTGCTGGACTGAGAATAGTCCACCAACCAAAAATATCCAGCCAACAGCATCCTGTGGGCAGCGTCCCGTGACCACTGATGAAGGACTAGAGGATGACCAACACAAACTGTGCAGCAGCAGATGAGCTATCGTCTCTGACTTTACATCTACAAGGTGGACTGACAAGGTAGGAGTGTCTAATAGAGTGGACAGTGAGTGGACACAGTGTTTAAAAACTGCTGAGAATGATCCACCACCCAAATAGTACCTGCTCTGTGAGGGTCCATGGGGGTCCTGACCACTGAAGAACAGGGTAAAAGGGGGCTAACAAAGTATCAGAGAAACAGATGGACTACAGTCTGTAACTGTAGAACTACAAAGCGCACCTATATAGTAAGTGGAGCTGATAAAATGGACAATGAGCATAGAAACAAGGAGGTGGTCATAATGTTATGCCTGATCTACTACCAATTGTACAGTATCTACTAGAAGGTTTTCAATGTCTTCCAGAGATTATTCTGTATCTACTATAATTACTCAGCATTGATTATGAATTATTCAGTAACTACTATGACGCTGTAAGTTATGCAGACAATGAGGAATTCATTTATGACTTGAGTTGACCAATATGAAAATTAAAAATAGCACCTGTAGCTCTACATATCATCTGTACATTAACACCCATGGTGCTATACTTAAAATTCCCCAGAGAAAACTCCAAACTGGTCAGTGTGCTGGACCTCCAAGACTGGCACTGCTGATCCTAACGAAGCAAAACAAGCAGCAACTTTCTCTGGAATCTGCTTCGTTCACCATCCGGTCTCCTCAATCATGTCTCAGGGCCAGACAACCATGACGGAGACTGATGAGAGGACAAAGGGACGCCTTACAAACCACATTTAGGCCACTGACTGTCAGCCTCTGTTAAAAGATTCAGTGGGTGGTCTTAGCAAAAAATCAAACACACACAATTTTCCCCAAATACAGTCAATCAGCCAAGACTTGTTTGGTGTCACAAGTTTGCTTCTTTAGTTTTGCACTGGAGCTGCGAGGCTAATGTAGCTAAAAGGTAATAGAAACTAACACCACCCAAAATCCTGCATGCTAATCATACCTAAAATGCTAAATGCTTCTACACAGTGATAGGAAACTCAGTAGCTCACAGACAAATCTACAGTAAAATCTACCATTTTACTGACCAATGTGGACAAAGCAAGTCTTTAGGATTGAGGGTTAAGCTGAAGAAGTCAGCTATCTAGCAGTTCTGGACTCTGTTGTGACCAAGACGGGATCCGAAAATGATCCTATTGGCTGATGTTCACCAATGTGTGAAATTCTCCGTTCTAGAGAAACTTACAGAGTCAGAATTGTTCACAGTGGTGGTGATAGGAACCAGACGTCCACCTCTAAAAGCTCCCTCACAGTAAGTTATTATATGACATGGTTATGGATTCACTACCTGATGGCTGAGACACTGTTTTACAGCATTTTAACATATTTTAATCAATTTATTTGAATTGATTCATGGTGGAGGGATACATGAAGGGTGTTCTAAGGCAAAATAGTCCCCAAAGAAACCTTATTTTTTCAGATTTATCACTATTTTACCATCATCAATGTTCCATATGAAACTCAGAAGACTCGTGTAGGTTAACTGGTGGTTTTGGACAGTAAATAAAATGGCTATATTTGCACTGAAGACATCGAGACTCCTGGTTCCTATCACCACCACTGTAAAGACATCTGAGTCAGTAAGTTTCTCTACAAAGGAACCATTTCGCATCAAACCACTCTGGATGACTGTTCATATCTCAACCACTGACTTGTACAGAAATTTTGAAAAATCGGTGGAATTCCCCTTTAAATAGTCAAACCTTAGGCTGGAGCTGTTTTTCAGCTTTGATGAGCACAAATAAAGGTGCATTTCTAAGCAGTGGCCCACAAATAACACAGTTCAGCTGAAGAATGAGGAAATGCTTTGTGTGCACATCAATACAAGACACACCCAAATATGTCAAGTTACAGTTGGTGGGGTCACTTCAGAAATTGACATTAGCCTAGATAATGTCAACAAAGTCACCCTGAACAATGTACACACACGCCTAACCCGTCTGGAATAATTAGTTCCGCATCGCATATGGCTCTGAAAGAGTTCAACAACTAACTCACTGCTTTACCTCTACAAATAGAGAGAAAACATCTACACACTTGAATATGATGGTTCTTCAAGGGTTCTTTAGTAAATAAAATGGTTCTACATAAAACTATGAACACTCAGAGAACCCTTTAATCACACAAAAAGGTTCTTTGAGTGTCCATGGACTATTTTTTACTAAAGAACCCTTGAGCACAGTCTTTTTAAGAGTGCACAGTTATACTGTCAAGCAGTTGCACTTTTAACATATATGCTGTATAAATGCACTTAACAGCTGGAGTCTGTCTTTTGAAGGCTCAAGAATGACTCATAGATGCCACCAAATAGCATAAAGAGCTGCATTTAGAAATTATTAAATCAATCATTATAAAATATTATATAAATATATCTACCCTACTTACAACTGCATTTGAAAAATCAAGAATTCTTGCCTCCTTTTTCAAATATAACTGGACATATGATAGTTAATAAGCACTCAGAGCTTCGAAATGTGCATATTTATTATACTGTAAAGAGTTTATTATACATTTTTGTTCCTATTGATGTCATTATGCCATTTAAAGGGCCCATTCCATGCATTTGTTTGGATTTATTCTTTTTCCTAAGCTTGACCACGACTTTTGTGTGGTTTAAGTCCTAATTCACATTTAAATGATCATTTTTTTCTTACTTTTTAATGTTTTTAATGTTTAAATATTAAATATATAGTTAAGTTAAATTTAAATGTAAAAGATAATTGTAAAATGTTTAATTAAAAATATTTAATTACATTTTATAATAAATCTTCATATGAAATTTTAAATAATGTAAATGCTTTCAATTTTTCAAATATCTTTTATAATTTAAAAGTATATGGCATTGAAATATTCTTTATAGTTTCAATGACATTATATTATAAAATAATATAATATTATTACATTATATTCTTTAGAATTTAGATATTTTAGATATTTTATATTTTTAGAATTAGATATTTGTGTGGTTTAAGTCCTAATTCACTTTTAAATGACCATTTTTTCCTCATCATTTTTTAACCTCTTTGAGTTACAAGGGCTCTTTAGTTACTGTGTTTAGTTACTTCAAAACTGACTTTAAAATGTTTAACATTTTAAAATATTAAATATAAAAAATAATATTTAAAATTTTAATTAAATTTAATTTAAATTTTTATTTTAAAAATATTTAATTACATTTTATAATAATTCTTCATATGATTTTTTTTTAAATGTCATACATTTTATTTTATAATTTAAAACTATGCCATGTTGAAATATCCTTTATAATTTCAATGACAACTATAATACAATATAATATAACAATATATTATAATACAATGCAATATAATAATGTAATAATATAATAATATTATGATATTATTACATTGTATTCATTATAATTTCATGACACTTGTGTGGTTTAAGTCCTAATTCACTTTCACATTACTATTTTTTTCTACCTCTTTGAGTCAAACGGGGTGATTCAATACTGTGTTTAGTGACTTTAAAACATACGTAAATCATCTCTGTCTTGATTGGTTGCGTATTCTAAAAGTATCCCATGTTGAAACACTCCTTATAACTTCAAAGTGAATGAGAAAGAATGAGCTAAACTTCAACGTGAATGGGCTAAACCACTCACTGTATATGTTAATGTTTTTTGTGACATCACAACCACAACGAATACAAAACAGGCTGTGTTTACAGCTTAGTTTGCACACATGGACTGTGGGTTTAATGGTATGTTTTTCCGTAATATGTGCCTTTTAAATGCCTGTATAGATATATGGATTACCAGCCCACACAGGACATCGAGAGCTTCATGTAGATACGGTACACTTTCATTTCCCTTAGAAATACAATATGATACAATCTGCATGAGAATGAACATTCTCTGGGTTTTTTCACTGCAATTAGCACACTGCAATTAGCACACTGCCCTGGCCACTGCAGGCCTGATTGCACCCGTGTTATATAAGGAGCCCACTGCTTAAGGAGTCATGCAGCTGGTGCTGCTCACAACACATGCATGTGGCGCTGCATTGCAATTCCAATGCACTGGCGATGCATTAGAAAACAACAACAAAATGCATGTGTAGAAAACCGAGTCAGACACAATTATTGCACATTTTGTACACATTTCAAGCCAGCTGTGAGGTGAACTTGGCTTCCTACCCGCCAGCGTCTTTTCGAATTCCCCGTTCCACCTTAAATAGTGCAGCAGCTAATGTAACTGCTGCACCATTTAAGGTGGAACGGCAAATTCGAATAACACGCTGGGGAATAAGGAGGTTGGATATTTTTCCAGCGTTTACCTGCAATGTGCAGCCTGACAGTGCCATTTTTGTGTATCCTCACGTCGCCTGGACCCCCGATGACCCCCCGATGGTCCAGCCCTGAGTGCCCGGCGCTGCTGCGCCTTCGCCCCGCGCCTTCCTCCGCCAAAGTCCGGCAGCATTGATAGCAAACCGCCCAGGCCTGCTCCTCATTAATAGGCTGGTTATAGAGCGTTAAGATCTCCTGCAGTGTCAGCTCCTCTCCTTCTTCTTCCTCCTCTTCCTCCTCATCCTCCTCCTCCGCCTCCTCACGAACCGTGGCCTCCATCAGCTCGCGCTCAGACATCCTCTCATCCTCTCATCCCCTCATCCTGCCCGCGTGGACCGGGAGCTCTGTGGCCACTCGGAGCGCTGGACCTGCCCTCCTCACCAAACTGCCAGCCTGCAGCACTGCTCACAGCACAACACCAATCACATGACAGCACCGCGAGGGGCGTGGCCTAAACACAGCCTGGTCTCCAGGTAGTCATTAGTGATGAAACGGTTCCTTTCTCCACATTTAAAGGGGAACTCCACCGATTTTTCAAAATCTGTATATAATTCAGTGGTTGTATGTAAACAAAGTCGTTCAGAGTAGTTTGGCGCGGAGTGCTCCGTTTAGGAGAAACATACTGAGTCAGACTTGTTCACAGTGGTGGTGATAGGAACCAGATGTCTGAAAGCCTTTAAAAGCTGCCTTGTGGAAAATTGCTACATTATATGGTTATGAAACTGTCTGAGACATTGTTTTACTAAAGTTTGAGGTGAGATTTTGGCCTAAAACATATTTTTAAAAGCTATTCATGGCAGAGGGGTACATCCAGGGCATGGTTAGGCAAAGTAGTCCCCAAAGAACATGTATATTTTTCACATTTTCCACTATTTTGCCGTCATCAACATTCCAAATAAAAGCTCAGAAGCAAGGATGTGCACAGGGCTGGGCTAAAGTTGCCCGAGTAATAGCCTGTTTGGCCTCTTTTGCTGAGCTGCCCCTCTGGAGGAAAAAAATATAGTATTATTTTTGCTGTTGTGGCTGCATAAATCCAAGTACCCTATGACTGCTAAAGTTAGGCTCCCATATAATCCAAATTTGTATTACTTTTTGCTTTTTGCAAAACAACAACAAAAGCAAATGGAACGAGAAAACAAAGGCTGAAACATAGAAAGACAAGGACAGGGTAAAACAGGATGTTCCACTTATTTTCTCAGTAGCATTTTTTAAAGTTAGAAGTGGGCTAATAACTAACTAAAAACTATTTCAATCAATGATAAATACACAGTATATTATATCTGTGCATAGTAGTAATGTGAATGAGGTATAATTATCATAACACTAAAGATTGCTTTTCTATGGGGGCCTAACCCCAAAAACTCCAGGTTAGAGAACACTGGAGAGTCTGATGATCAAGTAAAACACTTCTAATAGCGATTGTGAAATATGGGATGGTAAGGCCACAAAATGTGTTCATGAAATCCTATGTAACATTTTGTGATTGTTCTGTATTCTAGTACATATTTTTACATACAAAATTAGATATAGCCTACTCCAGTCTCATTCCTGGCTTCATCATTGCAAGCCACTGTCAGCATCACGTCCATAAAAATTCAGCTGTCTGCACTAAAGTGGTCAGTTGTTTTGGCGCATTTTTGTGAGAGTTGAAAGTTGATGATTCAGTTGGACGTTTAGGATTGAAATAATTAGAATTGTTGAAGCAGCAAAGCATAAATAAGGTACAGGCGATTTTAAGAGTAGGTCTACCACACCCAGGCAATTTTTAACTGAAAATGTGGTGGACAATGGTGTTCTTATTTCCAATTCAACAATTCAGTTTAAGATGAGCTGCAACCACAAGGATCCAGGCAGTGAGGGAGATCACGCTGAGCATCAGGAGCCGTATTACAGAAATTCCCATCTTTTTGTCTTAAGATTTTTTACAAATTTGTATTAAAGAAGCAAATCAGATGTCTTTACAGTGGTGATAGGAACCAGGGATCGCCATGGCTACAACACAAATATAGACATTTTATTTACTATCCAGAACCACCAGTGAACCTACACGAGTCTTCTGAGTTTATATGGAATGTTGATGATGGGAAAATAGTTGAAAATCTGAATTGATAAGTTTTCTTTCTGGACTATCTTGCCCCACAACACCCCTCCACCATGAACAGATTAAAATACAATTTAAGCCAAAACCTTATCACAAAACAGTGTCTCAGACATCAGGCAGAGTATATTTAACCACTTCATGTAGTAACCTTCTGTGAGGGAGCTTTTAGAGGAGGACATCTGGTTCCTATCACCACCACTGTGAACAATTCTGACTCTGTAAGTTTCTCTAGAACAGAGCATTTCACACCAAACCACTCTGAATGACGGTGTTTACATCTCAACCATTTAATTATGTAGAATTTTTGAAAAATCAGTGGAGTTCCCCTTTAAGTCTTTGGTTTTGGAACTGTCCCTTTAAGAACTGTGTCACGTGTAAGGTTGTTTAGCTAGCTCGGCGCAGCTTCCTCACAAATATTCTTAAATATAAGTGAAATTATCGCCTGGAAATACTCAGATGAGTGTATCTGGTGTTTAACGTTGCTTTTACTCCAAAAAACGAAGCGTACAAATCGTGTTTTGACGTTATTTTACAGCGGATTGAGGCGCATGCGCACTGCGTGTCATCTCCGGCCGTTTGAAACTATGGCGGCAGACGGTTTATCCATAACAGAGCAGTGGATACGAGAAAAGCTCAACCTTCAGCACAGCTGCTTGGGTAAAACTTGACTTATTTGACTGTATAGAAACCATACGACTTAATAAACGAACTAAGGATTCGGTTAATTACGTTACGTCAGCATTTTACGAAGACATTCAGTCTGAAGTCGTTTGCTAACGTGGGCAGGCTAACGCCGTTAGCTGACAGTTACAACGCTGCTTGTAGGCCAATATTGATGTCTAACTAATCTATCTAACACTTAATTACTGTGTCATTAGCAGACGTTCGATCACTGAGCCTCCCCGGATCATATGAGACAGGGAAAATATGCCATTTGGGGATTTCTCTGAAGAATTTTGTCCGTCTGAAAAGTTTGGATCTCTCTCATAACGCGCTGGAGTCCGTACAGGTGAGCAGCACAGCACACAGGTCAGCACTGCGAAGAGGCTGTTGTGTATTTTATCATTTTCCACAGCATAATTAAGATAAACTTTTGGAAATGTACATTTAAAACAACCATTCATAATGTATGTGATGCGATATACCCCATAAACTAAAAAAGAGAACACCACACAATGAATTTCAAAAGCAAAATGGATTATAAAATGTAATAAAAAGTGTTTTTCAGGATTACAGGAACGTGAAAGAGGAAACACAATTAAAAGAACGGATAAAAAAAAAGTTATTTTAACAGGTTATCACTTTCACCACCTTACACAAAGGGTTAAATAAGGCTAAAAGCTTACACAAATCCAAAGTAGAAAGAGAGAGTAGGACAGGCTGGGTCAAATCAGTTATAGGTTTATGCAAATGATATGTAAATGAGACAGTCTACATATACAATTGGTGATTCATCATTACAAATCAAAACTGTTATAGTGCAGCCTTGGGTTTGTTCAGAAACTAAACTGAACACAGTGTCATCGGTGAGATTCAGAGATAGTGTCCATCATGCATCTTAATGACGGCAGTAAGAGTGACTCTCAGTCAGGCTGAAGATCTCGAAGGTTCCCAAATGGTCACTTTACACACACTTATACGATGATAGAAAAACCTATTTCCAGCTCCTGTACTGTAGGCAGTTGCCATGTCTGGTAGAATAGAACGGAGACCGTGTCTGGCCCACACTCCTGATCACCCCTCAACCCCAGCAAGCACGATTAAAGCGTATCAAAAGGTACTAAAATTAGGGAATATCATGTAATATATGAATTAAAGTGATACTGCAGTTACTAATAAATGTTTGAGGTTATATCCGAATTTATTCTTATCAAAAGAAAAGCTGTAAAGCTTTATGTAAAATATAACCATTCTTAAGTAATTGCATGTAATAAGTTACACTACTCTGAAGGAATTAAAATAGTTTCATTGCTTATTGCACTTTCAGCACGGTGACTAGAAATTTGTAACCTATTATATTTCAAAAGTAACTTTGCCAATATAAACATATTTGGCAATTATTTCATTGATGTTTATTGAAGTAACTGGTATTGTGGTTCACTTAGTTCGGTAACATTGTCAGGTTAGCTGGATAATTATTTCATGAAATAATAATAATAATAATAATAATAATACCTAAACAATATTGTAGTGTCCTTCTCAAGGAACACAACAAGCATCACAGAGACATAAAAGCCAAAGAGCTATTATTCCTAGATGTTATAAATATATACTTAATCAAAATGTTCTATACTGAAATGATTCAAACTTGATTACGGTAGATAATTTACATCTTTTCAAGGGCTTGAGAGTGAATATTTGATTTTTTTTTTTCATAATTATAACTTAGAAAGCAATGCAAATGGATACAGTAAAAAGCAACAAAAAAGTAGAGGAATGCAGTTGTTGTATCCTAGTCGCAAGAACAAAGGTTTGCTTCCTTGGAAAACTTTGTGGAAAATAAAATGTCGCTGTTGTCAGAACAAAACCTCGTATCTCCAAAATGGTAACTTTACAGGAGAAGGAAAAAACCTACTTTTAATGTAAGTCAGTGGAACCAGAATTTTTTCCAAGTAATTTTAGATCATTTCTTTGTTCCATTCATTAATTTACACACAATACAAAGGCCCACAGATATTTTCAGATGATGTCAAAAACTGAAAAATTTGTATTTTTCCCTCTTGTTTGTTTGAAACCTGCAGGGCATTGTGCACTTAAAGCTGCTTGAGAAACTGAACTTGTACTACAACAGATTGTCGTCTCTTGAAGACGTCCTAGCCTTACGCAGACTTCAGAATCTGGAGGAGCTGGACCTGAGGCTGAACCCTGTTGTGCAGAAACATCCATACTACCGTCTATATTTAGTCCACGCCATCTCCAAGCTTCGTAAACTCGGTATATTTTCATTGATTACTAAACTACACACTTCAAAAAGATCTTCAAGGGTTCTTTAGTAAAGAAAATGGTCTCTATAGAACTATGAACACTCAAAGAACCCTCTGCATGATTAAAGAGTTCTTTGACCATGAAAGTGTTCTTCAGATTGATGGAGAATGTGCTGCAGATGGTTTAATAGAGAACCTTTTCAAAAAGGGTTCTGTGTAGAAAAGAGTTCTTCTGCTGTTACAACCAAACAACAGAACCTTGTTATAAGGAAAAGAAGAACTTTTCTCTGTAGAACCATCTACAGCACATTCTCCATTAATCTGAAGAACCCTTTCCTGATGCTCTTTAATCTCTTTATTCATGCAGTATGTCCTCTGAGTGTTCATGGTTCTGTATTGAACCATTTGCTTTACCAAAGAACCCTTGAAAAAACATCTTTAAGAAGGTACTATTAACTGTGGTCGTAAGAGAACCTCGTACCCAAATTTCTGTGAATATTTCATGTTAAACGGACCTGCACATTGTTAAAAAAAGTTTTAAAGGGCCTGTATCCTACATCCTACACTGTTAGGAATAAAGGTTCTGTGCAGGTACATTTTTCCTTCATCGAGGTACAAACAATGTAATTGTTCCCTAAAAGGTACAACAGTGGTTTTAAGGTCTGATTGTGAACCTTAAATAAGTTTTCCAGGTAAAAAGTTCGTATTTGTACCCTTTATAACCTAAAGGAAGAACCCTTTGTTGTTCTAAAACAGAACAACAAAATAAAAAGCCTGTAGACGAGTCGGGGTGTGTGGAGTCAGTACAGCTTAGAACATATCATTTCAGTGGATTATGGTACAGTTACACCGGTCAGGCATAACATTATGACCACCTCCTTGTTTCTACACTCATTGTCCATTTTATCAGCTCCGCTTACTGTATAGGTGCACTTTGTAGTTCTACAGTTACAGACTGTAGTCCATCTGTTTCTCTGATACTTTGTTAGCCCCCTTTTACCCTGTTCTTCAGTGGTCAGGACCCCCATGGACCCTCACAGAACAGGTACTATTTGGGTGGTGGATCATTCTCAGCACTGCAGTAACACTGACGTGGTGGTGGTGTGTTAGTGTGTGTTGTACTGGTCTGAGTGGATCAGACACGGCAGTGCTGCTGGAGTTTGTAAACACTGTGTCCACTCACTGTCCACTCTATTAGACACTCCTACCTTGTCAGTCCACCTTGTAGATGTCAAGTCAGAGACGATAGCTCATCTGCTGCTGCACAGTTTGTGTTGGTCATCCTCTAGTCCTTCATCAGTGGTCACAGGACGCTGCCCACAGGACGCTGTTGGCTGGATATTTTTGGTTGGTGGACTATTCTCAGTCCAGCCCAACACACACTAACACACCACCACCTCATCAGTGTTACTGCAGTGCTGAGAATGATCTACCACCCAAATAGTACCTGCTCTGTGAGGGTCCATGGGGGTCCTGATGTGAGCAAATAAGTTGGTTGTTGTGACATCACAGAAACAGTTCATTCAAAACAGGCTGTTTTTATAGCTTAGTTTCCATATATGGACTGGAGAGCAAATGATGTGTATGTACTACATCACATTCTTTTATTTTTATTATTTTTAATTTATTAAAAAAAAAGATGAAGGTAAATTTGGGCCCTTTAACTTTTGCGGTGGCTTCACCTCCTGTGGAGTTTTAACGTGCTAAATGTGCTTGTCAGAAATGAATGGAGTAAAATAATAAATCTTTGACAATTTGAGCCTCATAGGTTTGTTTAGTTAATAGTTTTGTCTCCTATAATAAAAATTGCTGCTTCAAATAAACAAGATTGTCCTACAACAGGAACAGTTTGTGTTGCGTACGTGCAAATATATGTATTTCTTTCTGTTCCTTCTCTTACAGACGACTTTCCTGTACGAGACCGAGAGAGAAAAGCAGCTCTGATGCACTTTTCTGTTGAGTCAGCGGTCAAGCCTAGTCAGAAGTCTCAGCCTTTCACAGAGGAAAAGGGGAACAGGTGACTTTCTCTGCACACCTGGGGTTTTTACAGTGATTAAGACTGTACTCTGGGTTGGTAGTGTTTATTAGTAAGCATGCTGTGTTCCTTAGTCCATTACCTCTACCGCTACAAATCTTAAAAAGTAATCAAAAGGCTGCAGTGTCCGATTATCTTACTGCCCTTCTTTAGCATTTAGTCCAGTAGGGTCACTTTTTTATTTTACATATTTTAATGAAAAAGTTATTTTCTGTTTAGCTCAATTTGATAATGAAGTGTATCTCAACAAATCACTCAACATTTTAATAACCACCTCACACACACACAGTACAAAAAGTATTGATGAGTCTCGTCCTCTCTGAGCGTTACATACTTTAGCAAACTAACTACACGCTGCTGCTTAATTAGCTTAAAATACAAATCATTTTGTAAACGTGAAAAAAATGCCCTCCACTTGTCCTGGAAACCTGTTCACACAGAGCTCAACCAGCATGTTAAACTGGCTGGCCTGAAGAGCTTTAACATTAGTCTACATTATTTTTATTATATCGCTTTGTTATATTTTAGCTATTGCTTATTACTTACTGTAGCTCAAATGTATCCACAGGCTCAAACAAAGCACCGCATGCTTTTTCCACGGTGGTAATTTAGCCTTTGGTGAATCTCAGTTTGTCAGAACATTGCCAGACATTTTATTCATTCAGCTCTTCACATTTACAGGCCACATTTAAGCAGATTAATCTGTTATTAATTGATGAATTCACATGGATAACTGAATATCAGTATTTTTTTTTTTTTTGCAGTCCTGATTTGGACCCAAAGTCATTTTCAAATCAGTACTTCATCTAACAGAATGTCATTACACGGAAAAGATTAAATTTGGCACTGGAGTTCATCTTTAAGTTTTTGAGGACCCTCAGCTAGTCCATTGTTCACATCCAAGTCCTGAGCTGGCTGAGTCCTGGGTTGTGTATAGATGAATGGAGGACTGAGAGATCATGTTTTTCTTCTTATGGTTTTTTAATTACTTTTTGAATGTTTTTTGCAGGAGCAGTGATCACAGGATTGCCTCTGTGAACAAGATGATGATGGCAAAGCTTTCTCTTCGAGAAGGTAACGAGGAAACTGTTCTAAATTACAAATTCAGTGAGGACAGGAACACGGCGGTGCAAGAAGGTTCCCCTTTGACTGAAGAGAAAACTAGACGAGAGTCCAGTCATTCCCCAGGTAGGCTAGGAAAAATCATCGGCTTAAGTACTCTACATAAACATACGCATACTTAAACCACTGTTACAGTGCTGTTACATTAGCAGTGTTAGTTAATAATGCAGTGAATAAAACAGTGAATGAACCAGCACACAGCAGTTAGCAGGATCTGCTTTGCCTGTTGGAACTATTGGTCAGGACCTGCTTGCTGTGTCCTGTGCTGTGATGTTTCCGCAGTCTGAAATGTTATACTTTGAACTGGAAAATGTGATCTGTGATTAGCGATCAGAGATTTTGCCTTATAATTGAGATTTTATTGAACTTGAAATTGTAATTTACAATGCAACACCTGGTTACCTACTTAAAGTTAACACAGCATATCTTTTTTATAATCTGTGTAAAATTTTTGCAATATATTAGGACTGACTCTACTGTTCTAATGTGGAAATTTCCCTTTTTTTTTTTTCCAGACAATCCCTCTGACACTATACATTTAATTAACGGCTATGATTCTGATGCGTCATCTGCCCAAGATCAGGTGCGTCTTTTTTTAATCTCCTGATAATAAAACACTTGTTTTAGTCATCATTGTTTAAAGTCATTAAGCATACATACTGAGTATGTTTTGATTTGTCTAACTGTTATTTATTTTTAGGAATCTGAGCCAAGTCTTGGGAAAGCGCACGGTAAGAATGGTGAGTGCATAATCTGTTCTTGACTATATGTCCACAAGGGGGCAACATTTCCATATTTTTATTTCATCTGCCAGTACAAATTGTTCAGTTCAGTGTTGCCCAACACCAGTTCCGGAGAATTTGGGCACCAGAGCTTTGTGAGATTTTCTGCTCTACATAGACTTAAATCAGGTGTATAAGAGGCAAAAAAACAAAACTTGCTTTGTATTTGTTAACCTGGCAAACACCAGTTAATATCCGATGTCCATTTTAACTCATTTTTATCCAGCATTGAAATAAATAAAAGTAAAATGTCACACTTTGAATATTTCTTTGCTATTATTTTCCTCTGCCATGACCAGAGACTCGTGTCCAGCACACTGTCCAGCGGCGGTCCTCTCTGAAGTCAAATGATGCCCCCAGAGTCACTTTCTTCAATGCATCTGTAACAAGACACAGTCCTGAACATCTACGGCAAAAACCAGCAAAGAGCCTCGTACACAGCAGAATACAGGCTAAGAGCAGCTTCACGCCACATCCCAGCTACAAAAGCCCAGTTTTGAAAGGTATTTCCAAGTGTGGCTGTAAATATTCCACTGAATGTTCTGTTGTTTCTTTAGGGGCATTAGGTAATATAATAAGTTTCATATGTTTTTCCAGATGTATACATAACATGATGGTTATTTGGTGTTGATAACTCTCTCTTAATTTTATGGGAGAAGATAAGAAAGCTGAAGTAGTAAAACATTACTCAGAGAGTGGAAGAAACCCAGTGCTGCACCCTCCAAGACTAACGTACAGAAAGACTGAAATGGAAGGAGATCCACAGAGACCCTCGCTTAAACCTGAGAGAGCAGACAAGCTACACAAGGTAAGTGGATTCATTAAAGCTGCAGGTCAGTGACGAATCAAAATTACCCAGTTTTCCTCCTTACCTTAATAGTAGTCGATCAGCCAAGACGTGTTTGGTGTCTGAAGGTAGCTTCTTTAGTTTTACACTGAAATGTTCTGAAAAGCCCTTACAAGATGCTTGAGACAAATCAGGACAAGGTCAGCACTTTAAGCGTGATACTAAATATTACAGGATTTAATTGCATATGTGGCACAAACTTGTCAAATGTCAAACTTTTCAATGTATTGACATAATTTTAATGCTGTGTATAATAAAGATGCATCATCAATGCAATTTTTTTGTTTTATATGATTTTTTTTAAAGCTGCAAAAAAAGACAAACCAGACCAAATTATTTCATCTTGCAAAAACATTTTTCTCCCTGCCAAATCAAACAAAAATCACCACCCAATCTGGCAACACTGCGTTGCACTGTCAAAAGATGATGTTCCCGCATGTTATATAGTAAAGACGTTACATTAATGTATTCTTGATAGTGTTTAATGTCTTCTCTAGTATAATAATTTTTGTTGTATGCTGATTTTATTCTCAGGGAGCCTATAAGAAACCGATGGAGCTGCTCCTCAGTTTGGTGGATGAGTACTGGGCTGGGAAGAAGAAGAACCACAACACTAAGCACTTCTTCAGTAAGTGATCATCTTCCAGACAGAAGCTGGGATTTACTCATGGACACAGAAGCTAATTGATACTCTGTGCTGTCCATGATCTGCTCTTATGTCCTTGGTCATCTGCCTACTTAAACAAACAGTTATTTTTATAATTTAGTTTACATACTGGATATATTTTGTGATCGTCCTTTGCATTGATAATTTATGGAATCAACAGTTTCACCAAGACAGATTTTTTTATATGTGCAGATGCACTTGACCAGTAAAGTGATTGTCATTCTGATTATTGGGTTGCTGCTTCTGCCTCTGCATGGCGTTGGTGTTTTATATTCTTGCACCTGTTCTGAGAGAAATTCAGTGTAGAGGAACTACAGTTTTAGTAGTGAGCGTTACTTCCTTGCTACGTTATCTTATCGTAAATGGAAGTGTGTTGGAGAACACTTACATTGATTGAGCATGACTGGCAGATTTACACAGTTACCCATAATATATTCCTTCAGCCAAGACTTGTTTGGTTTCTAAAGTTTGCTTCTTTAGTTTTGCACTGGGAACTACAAGGCTAGTGAAGCTAACAAGCACTGGAAGCTTATACCCCACCAATTAGCCTAGTGTAAACTGTGTAAATCCCAGCTAACATCACTTGTGCTCTACAACTTGTGTCTGCAGTGCAAGCTGTCCGTATCCTCTGCATGATGGAGCAGGAGGTTGTGAGTGGAGAAGAGGAGATGAAGGCTCTGAGAGAAAAGATCCAAACGCTGAACACCCAGGCAGAACTGCAGAAGAGACGGCATCAGTCAGAGATACAGAGTCTCTCAGAGCAGCTGCGGAGAGCATACGGCTCTGTCGTAAGTCTAATCAGAGGTTTAAGTCGTTCAGAATGAATCAGGTAGTCAGACTGAATCATATTAAAAGATTCACCCACTTTTTCAAACCTCTATAAACCAACTACATTTGGCTGACCACTTGTGTGGCTTTTGTAAAACAACATAGAACTGACCAAAAAAAGTATTTTTTGGGAGAAAATTTTCTGGCATATATGCTATGTGAACAAGATCAGTTAGCCATTAGTGACATTGATGATGGTGGGCTCATCATCAATCAGGAAAGGTCATCTCATTGCCTACTTAAAAACAAAAGCGCTCTATAATGTTCATATGATCCACATGGTAATTCTGACAGACTGTAATACACTACAGGAAGTGTAGGGGGCGATATGGCTTCTACTGTTTCATTTAAAAAGCCTCTATAATGTTCATATGATCCACACAGTCACTCTGACAGACTGTAATACACTACAGGAAGTGTAGGGGGCGATATGGCTTCTATTGTTTCATTTAAAAAGTGCTCTGTAATGTTCATATGATCCACACAGTCATTCTGACAGACTGTAATACACTACAGGGAGTGTAGGGGGCAATATGAGTTCTATTAATAAAATGGAACTAAAAACAAATGGGACTATGACTGGTGACGCTGATATGAAATGACGGAAAGCATAATGGTTTGATGTGGCTAGTAATCAACAAGAAGCCGAAAGATTAATTAATTATAGAAATAAAGTCTTGGCTCCCGTTTCTAAAGCTTTGGTTATTTTGTATTAAAGGAGCAGCTTGATGAGCAGTTGAGGAGTGTTTTGGAGGAGAATGTGTCCTTGCAGAAGCAGCTGATCCGATTGGAGCAGAAACTCCTCTCTGACCAGCTGAGAGAAATGTCAAACACTGGAGACTAAGGTCAGTTCATCAGGTATGTTTGTCTTTCTGCTGGTAGAACTGGTCTGTGTGTGTTTTTGGCTGAAGGGGTGTGTGATGTACAGTATGATTCATTTTGAAAAAAGTGTCAGTAACAGATCTGAAGGCCACATTTATGCTACTATTTTTTTTATACAGTAATGAATTGTACAATATAGATTTGAATATAAGAGGCCAGATAGAAATGGGTAGTTTTAGATGTTACAACCCCGTTTCCAGAAAAGTTGGGACACTGTGCAAAATGTAAATAAAAACAAAATGCAATGATGTGCACATCCTTTAACCTCTTATTCTCCAGGGTATATTTTGGTTTGTCCATCTGAATTTATGTGACCAAATCATAAGGCAGATTATTCAGTAACTGCATGAAATAAATGTCAATGTTTATTTTATTTATTTATTTATTTTTTGTAAAAGTTCCCCTCAAATTAACAGAAAATGTGTTTTATGATCACACATATTGCTATATGCTTACAATTTACTGCTGAAAACCAAAAATCTTAGACACTCTTTGTATTATTTTATAAGAATATTTTTTACAGAGCAGATCACTGAAGAGACGCCATCTGTTTATAGTTTATAGCCCAGATTTGTGGAAAAATGGGTCGACTTTCAGTAGAAAAAAAAATTGTGAGTTCAGCTTCTTTTATTATAAGGGTTTATAATTACATCACCCATCTATTTGACTGGAAAGAAGACAGTTACAGCTCTCATACGACCCCCACCTTTAGAATGAAGTTTATGAAATATGAAAGTTATGAAGAATATGACGAAGTGCGTTTTGGAACCACCGGTGGTCTCAAGTTGAAGAGGTTAAACCCTATATTTAATTGAAGATAGTACAAAGACAACAAATCAGATGTTGAAACTTGATTGGGTATAAAAAGAGAGTCTTTCAGAAGTAAAGATGAGGAGGGGTTCACCACTCTGTAACAGACTGCACAATCAAATAGTGCAACAATTCAAGAATTATTTACTTCAATTTTTTTTCAAATTATTAGCTTTGAAATTTCATGACCACTTTTTAATGAGGCATTATATTTTTAAACTGATGGCCAATGTTTTGCAGCTTTCTCAGTCATTTTAGGTGCATCTACAGCTCTGTTCATCAATGTGGACACATTTAACATTTTTTTTTAAACTTTATTTTTTATTATTGTTTTTAAATAATTTCCTAGCCTCGTCCTGATTACCTGATACTGATACCGAAACCCATGAAGCTGCACAGGACTGGAGTATTAGAACAATTTGCCTGCAACCAGATAAGTTTTATACTGTTGAACATTGGATTGAATCTTTTGAACGGACAAAACACATCTGGTAGTTAGGAGGATGGTCTTCTACAGCAGGTCAGAATTGGTGGTCTGTTTCATATCTTAGTGAAACATCACATTATTAAAATATGTACGTGTTTATTGGTGGCCTAGTTCTGTGCGAGCAGTTCTGAAGATTTTTCCTTTCTCAGTTGTGCTGTAAATGTGATGTGCACTCTCCGCACAGACTTCACACACAGACCACAGTGAATGAGGTCATTGACAGTGGACTGAAATTAGCAACTGCATCAGTCATTTCACTCAGCCAAAACTTATTCTGTCGGTAAGGTTGATAAACTTTAAAGGAACGTTGCACGCAGAGCGAGGTCGCAGTAGCTTTGCCAATAATAATAATGAAGATTAACCTGTTTGTGCTGTACAACTAAATTTAGTATGATGAGGAAAAATACTACAGTGATTAAACTGTGTAAAGTTCAGTGACGTGACGTGCATTTTTGTGTCTGAGTTCATTATTCTCTTATTAAACAAATTAATAAACACATGACAGAATATTACAGCAGCTCCATTATGTGCACACTTTTTCAGTGCCTCAAAATAAAACTCTTTTTTTGTTTTCCAGAGTGTACAAATGTCAGGTGCGCTACCATTCAGGTGTAAATACAGATTAAGTAAAAACGTAATTAAGTCATATAAAATTCTAATTCTTATAAAATAGTTTGGCTTTTTATGTTTGAAACCTTTAAATCATAACATGTAACAATGTAGGGCAAACTTTTTTTGAAAGAAATCCATAAATGAATTTCTTCAAATGTCAGACGGCGCAACCGACAGCAAAGAACTTTTATTCTGATATGCATTTAAGAAAGAGTGTATTTTCACAAATGCTGGAAGTCATTTTTTAATTCATTGAGGGTAGGTCAGTTTGCCAGGTCAAGTGGTGGTTATTATAATCATGTTTATATATCGAAAAACGTAAATACAACATTGAGTTCATGTAAGTAGTTTTATATAGGTGTCCAAGTACAAATACACAGTGATGGAAGATGAAGTATAATGTTTTTATTAAAATGTGGTTGCACCACTTGACATTTTCTTGGTGGGATAATTTGATGATTTGGTTTAAAAAGGAATTTATAAAATTAAAGGAATGAAACTCATTTTGATACTTTAGTCTTTTTAAAAAGGATTTCTAAAATGATTTTGAAGCCTGTTTGGTCATTGACCCATATACGCCTGGCTTATTTAACAGTAACCATTGGAGGAACTTTTGTTCACAAGCAAATTAGGATTTTATATTGTGCTGTTAAAAATCAGTAGTTCATGTGATCAAAAGCGGTATGCAGTTTGGTAAATATGAAAAAAATCTTCAAATTTGTGCTCAGACAAGCTTGAGCATGTATGAACTGAAGGACATTTCAATTTTCAGATATTGACATTGATGGGTTAAGTACCAAGCAGCTGACGTGTCTCAAACCCAGAGTGGTTATAACTCCATAAATATCGTCGCTGTACAAAGAAAAACAAGTATCTCCAGAAAATATTTACAGTATATTTACAGGAGACGGTTAAATGCCCTTAACCTTTAATGTACCTTTTAATGTAAAGAGATTCAGTAATTTTTGGGCATTTCTATTGGTCCAATCATCATGAAATTTTCAGACAATGTAAAGGAAAATTGTTATATTCAAATGACCTAAAAGAATAAAAATCAACAAAAATGGAGATACATGTGGTTTTTCTTTTATTAGCGAGTTTTGAGCAGAACACAATTTGTAATGGTAAGGAATCATAAATTATGTGTTTTTGGGTGGGGTTCTCCTTCAAGCATTACTTGTTATATGATGTAATAGAGTGAAATAAGTGATGCGTTGTACCCAAGTCTGAATGGGAAATAAATGAAAACCAGGCGGTTCCTCAGGTCAGGTTTTCTTTCTTTTGTCCTCCCTTTTTTTTTCTTCATTTCTTTTAATTTATTCTGAACAACGCTACAAAACATGGACAAGTTAAATTCTTGAACGTTACCATGACATAACATGCAGCAGGGCACTGTAACACATAAAAAATAGTTATATGAAAAATAAGACAACATTTGTTCCTCGAAACAGAGGGATTACAGTATTTGGCATTAAAGCACACACAAAAAAAATCAAAAATCATTCGTTAAATACAACAACAATATTCTTAACTTGCGGTTTGATATAAATATAAGTCACTTCCTAAGCAGGAACTAGCAGGAACAGTGCGCCACCATATCTGAAAAATAGATGTTCTGTAGAAGAATATGTCTGTACATGTTATAATCTCCTCTCGGGAAACCTGCTCTGTGTTTTTCTAACTTTGTGACAATTGAACTGGCACAGTTTCGGAAAAACTAACTAGTGGGGAAATTTTGAGCTTTACGATTTAGGTTACTGCATGTTGTTTGGCTGAAGTGCTTTTCTTGTAAACATTGTTCATTAGGCTGGAATAATTGCACATACCAAAAATGTAGCAAGGTGCCATGATATAAAATTACTCAATTATTACTTATAACACTGAAACTCAGAAAAAAATAAGTATTTTCAAGAAATATTTGAGTTCATATTATCGTAATTATTTTTTTTAAAATAAATTGTGCATTTTGAACCAGATTACCAAACCTGTACAAATCACTAAAAACGCTTCTCATATTTCTGCATAAGAATTTAATGTGCCCTGATGTTAAATTATTGAAACCCAGAAAAAAAACTACAAATATTTACGTGATTTTTTTTTTTAATATATTTTTTTCATTTTGTACCACAAAAAGGTTTGATTTTAGAAAAAAAGAAGTCTGACACGATCAACAGAGTTGTACACTTATTACTAGAAGTGTATTTCTGTGTGTTTCATAATTCTGTGTGAAGATCTAATTACGTTATGGAAGTTTAAACTTCCATATAGTTTTATAGTTCACGTATAATATCAGTTATGGAAGTTCTGTGCATTAAGCTGCTTTCACGCTGAACACGGTACTTGCTGCGCTTGCTGGTTGGGAGCAAAAGTGGCCAAAGTGAGGAAAGAACTTTGTGTTTAGGTGTAACCAAACTATCGAATTCACAAATTCTTTAAAGCATAGTTTAATGAATCCATTAAACAACCCAATTATGCTCTCTTTGTAAGGAAACATGCAGATCCTTAAGTACTCACGATCTTCACGCTGTGCTCAAAGAGCATATGACTTTATCACAACAACGATAAAATATTGTTATACATCAGTACCTAAAGAACGCTTACTGAACATACTTGTTTCTTTACTAAGAGAGTATAATTAGTTCTATTTAATTGCATTATTGCAAATTTTGTGCTCTGTACATTTTCACCCCGAGTGTCAAGTCAGTCGTGTCAAACTGGGGACCTTCCAGGCCGAAATGCTGCCGAGATCAGCGTTTACTCTCATCTAACACTCTGAATTCAGTTCATGGAGGTCTTGCTAATTAGCTGATGAGCTGAATCAGTTGTGTTCAGTGAGGCAGTGCGCTGAAGTCTGCTGTGTTTTTGGCCTGCGAGGACTGGAGCCTGACACGCTCATTAAGTAGTCAAATTATGTACTATTACATCCATGCTACAGGCAAGCTAACACTTCTGTGCACTGAAGTACTGAGTCAAAGTAAGTTTAATACAGCAATTATATACCAACAGCAGCTACTCAAACTGTGCTCTACTACTGCCAAAGCAACTTAATTACTACGTCTGACCCAGCTTGCAGGTTTGTGTGGGGTACTTTGGTGAGGTTGCCAGTCTTATGATTAGGTCAGTTCAGTACAAAGCAGTTTTAAGCTAGCAAACAATGTTTTTGAAGCGAAATGACATTCTTTTGGCCAAAATGAGACAGTGGTGTTGCCTGCGTCACTACACAGAGCCTCTAGCAATGTTTAGATGTTCAACAAGTTTTTTTCAAGTAAATTTAGAACAGCATGTTCAACTATGGGTGGGTTTAATTTAGTAATTTTATCATTTTTTAAAAACCTGCCGGCTTGTATGTAACAAAATTCATAGATGGCTCCTTAATTTGTTAATCAGAGGATCCAGTGACATTCGGAGGAAAATGCACACAACACGAAACATATTGACTTTGGACTGTGTCTGTTTAACACAGGGCTCTGTTAATTTTTCTTCCCCATAAACAAAACTGGCTTAGACTCAGAGTTGCTTACATGAAGCCAACTAAAGAATGATGCCATGACTTCAGAGGCCAGTTGCACAAACAGGTCTTAACGAAGGTGGTCTTAGGGGTGTGCATTCTTGTGAAAATATGTATAACAGTGGGTTACTAAGCCAGTCTGCTGTGCACATAATTACTTCTGGCTGCAGATAGCTGTGCCAATTCATACCACCAATATAAAAGCAGACAGTGAAACTTGCATATTAACTATTTCAGCTGCTTTAAACCACACTGGGACATAATCAGACAGATTGAAGTTTTAAAAAAAAGGAAAGGCACAGAGGGTTTGAGACGACAGTGTATGGTTTCTCAATCTTTTTGAGCTGTGAACACCAAAAAATGTACTTTGGGGTTTGTGACCCCTGTCAACTCAACCCTGAAAACCACCACAGTTTTTCCACATATCTTTGTCTGTGGGGTCATGGACAGAAGGTCTGGAAGGACATCTCTGCGGTCTGCTTCTGTTTAAATACATGCTACATTTCTAGCTCTTCTGCTTGTAGTATGCTCAAGGCAAGGACTTATAGTATTCTTACACAGGGCGGCTACAAAACCCAGGAAAAAAACAGGAGGAAAAGTGGTTTCTGACCATAAACAAGCAAACAGCTGTTCCAGTTGGTTTTAACTGGAGTTGTAAAATCTATGGGAATATCTGCATCTCTTTCTAAACTCAGTCATTCTGAATGAAGTGATGAGTCCAGTTTTTTTGCACACTTAGTAGCAAAGTTATCTAATCATGTGCACCCTTTAAGATGGAACAGGAAAATTCAGATAAGCTGGTGAATGAGAAACTGACTTCAGGTCCACGACTTTTTAGTGTTTCAGTTTCTCGTTGCAGATTAAACGTATCAGGAAACCAGCTGGAGTGATTATAAATGCAAATAAGTCCATTCGTCTCTAAATTATCAATGTTTGTCTAAAATCTTTCTCTTTGCCGTTTCGTTAGCTACCAGCTAGGCACGTTACTATGTGACCAGCAGTCTGTACTGATCTTCAGGGTTAAAGGGTGAATTAGCAGTTCTACATTAACTCCAGTGTTTAAGACCATTTATTGTTAAACTGTGTTGAACGATCAGCAGAGCTTTATTTTACTGCAAAGGGGGATTATTTTATTTTTACCTACTAATCTGATTCTGCTGTGGTCCTAAAGTTACGACCGACTTGCCTTGCGACCAAGTGTAAGCCCTGTTTGTGCAACCGGCCTCAGAGGTATATTGGCCACGCTGAGATTTCCCGGTTTGAGCACGGCACAAAAGTTGTAGACATTGGAATGTTGTTTTTTTAATATACAGGGTGATTCAAAAAGATTAATCTGATTTCAAAGCGCCATATTTTTTACAACCGTGAGGCACCTAGGAACCAATCACATACCACTTGAAAGAGGGGGTCATAGAGTTTCTGACAGTCAGTGGAAGATGGCTCCCTTCAGTCTGAGAGGAGATGAGACCCCTGAGCAGAAAGCGTTCTGCGTTCTCCACTTCAATAAGAATGAATCTTTAATAACTGTGCAATGTGGTTTTTGTGGGCAGTGAACCTCCAACAGCTCAGAGCGTTCGGCGTTGGTTCCACAACACTGGATGATCTCCGAAATCGCACTGAAAGAGCCGTGAGTGCAGCGACACCCGACATGATCAATCCAGTATGGGATGAATTTGACTATGGCGTTGATGTTGTCTGTACAGCTGGAGGAGGTCCATATTGAGCACTGGTAAAATTACATAATAAACTTTATGCTCATTTAAACCATTTACGGTTTACTGCATTGATCTGTAATGATTTACAAGTGAAATAAATCACTTTAAAATTGGATGAATCTTTTTGAGTCACCCTGTTGGTGTGTGTGTGTGTTTGAAAGCATAGCAGCATTTTTCCGTGTTCCGTGTGAAAGCAGCTTCAGTAGTCAGACTGATACTAAGTGAAGAAGGTTGTGCATAGCTGAACCGAGACACTGTGGGCAGACTTGATATAAACAGCAAGTGTGGAATGCATGTCTAAATTCCTGCTTCCGGTCGCGCTAATCTCAGTGCATTCATGGTGCTTTTTACGTGATGGGCATCAACAGAAGAAAATAACAGCCAGTGTTTATATTATGCCACCAAGCATTAGCATCAGAAATACATACAGATACACTATAAATATTTTTGACCCTATATACTGGATAGAAACATCAAAATATTAAGATATACAATCTTAATCACCAGTGATTTCTTTATGCACCAAACAAGCAGTTGAGCGTATGAACCGTTTTGCTACTATTAAAAGATGTGCGCAAATTTCACGAAAAAAAAAAAAATATATCAGTAGAATTCATTAAAGCTCAGTAAATTAGCTGATGGGTTAAACCTGGGCTTAGTCTGCAGTCAGTTTTGCTTTTTGGAAAGACATAAAAAGAAGTCTACACAAGTCCAATCTGACCACAAGGAAAGATGCACAATAAAACACACAAGTATAAAGGTCAATATTAAACATGAAGTAAAATAACCACCAAAAGAACTGTGAACTTTACATCTGATATTGTTACACTAAATACTCATCCTTCTTAAGTTCTTAAGAGGCCATAAAATGCAAATTATTATAGGCCACATAATGCAAATGATGGTGTAGGTAGTACATCTTATTCCAATAACACAGTCAAGAGCCCTCACTACAATGTTTGATGTTTAGCCTCATTGGAAAAAAGCATTTTTCTTCTGCTTAGTGTTTTTCTTTTTCTTTTTCTTGTCGTTATCAATCTTGGCATCATTCATAGCTCTTGGGAAATATTATTAAGACCTGTTTTGAGTTTATAAAACTTTTCTGATTTGCCTCTCTGAGACTTTAGTAGAAAGTTTGAGAGTAATCTTCGATTTGGTCAGGAATGTACCAGCTGGCGACGTCTCTGTAAACAGTGTTCCAGTTCTCAGACAGCATAGGAAAAGGAACAGAAAACGGATCTCATTCACAGAAAAACAAAAACAGATATAAACATACCCTCGACCGGTAATGGAAAATGCTATCCTGTTGTGCTCCTGTTTTGTTCGTTTGTGGAACAGGGAAATCTCTCACATGGGTTTCTGTTGGGGTTTGCCTTGAATTTTCTTTTCGTACGAGCCTGCATGTTTGTATCCCGAGACGTAGCCGGATGTGTCGACCATGTCGACCCGGCCTGCCTTGCCCTTCCCACGGCCCGTCTCGTCAAAGCGCTCCTTGTGGGAGCCTGTGAACTTGCTGGTGTCCGTCAGCCGCGACACGGTGGGGGACGCCACTGCCCTCTGCGGGGGGGGATCAAGAAGAGAAGGAAAGGTTAGAACTTAAGTGCTTATAAATGGCCCAGATTGTACACTTTTTCCTTTTTTTGTTAGCTTTTTTATGTTTGTACAGTTCGGTGTCCTCAAAACGGTCGTTCATTTTTCCATGACCGTAGCCTCTCTGTAGCCCTTAAAATTAAACAGCCTTTTTTGTTGCTGTGCCTTAAAGGTTCTGTATTCTACATCTTTCTTGTATTTAGTTTTTATCCACTGAGGTCCATTTCTATATATTTTTTGGGTTTATGTCCTGAAAAATGTTTATAATTTATTTTAACATTACCCTTTTCCAGCCTCTCTTTAGTTAAACAGGCTGTTTTTGTTACTGTGCCTTTAAGACATGTAGATGAGTATTGTGCCTCATTCAAAAAGCAGTCCCGACTTAAACTCTCCCTGTGACTTCACTATGAGTGGGCGAAGTTAAACTGATGTAGGCTGGTGTTTCGAATGTTTGGATCCTTTGAAAAGCTGCAGTGATACATTTGCCTACCGACAGCCATGAACAGCACAACGTTTAATCGTTTTGTCACATCTTTAACTCCGCTGCCAACTACCTGCAGGAACATCTCTCCACATCACTTCAACGTGAATGGCCGCAGCTAACTGCTGTTATAGGTATTTCTATACATGGTGTGACATCACAACCATGATCAATTAAAAAGAGGGCTTTTTGTCGCAGCCAGGTTTACATATGTGGACTGTATGGGCTGAGGAGCTTTAAAACTTTAACAAAATTTACTCTTTAATTAAGAAAAAAAAACAGTTTTTCATGACCTGGCCCCTTTAAAATTGCACCAAAGTTTTAAGTAGGTCTCCAAGTAAGACTCTGCATAGTAGTGGTCCCCAACCCTGCTCATAGAGAACTCAACCTTCCTGCAATCTTCCTGCCATCTAAATACTGACTTCAGAAGTCTTTAATTAGCTGAAGGGGTGGTTAGATTTGGGTTGAAGATGAAATCTGCAGGAAGGTAGGAGGGTTGGTGAGCACTGCTGTTTAGGGAGTACCTAGAGAATTTCTTGTGTAATGTTCACTAAGAATTTCTGTGCACACAGTTGTTCAGCTTTTCTCTGTCAGTTTTCCTGATTGTTACGTTGTAAAGGCTTACAAAAAAAAAAGCTCAAGCTTTACTTAATATAAGCTCTCAACACCTCTAAAGGAAATGACACCTAAGACTCCTATTTTTATTCTGCCCTTTAAAGGGAAATTCCACCGATTTTTTGAAATTTCTGCAAAGTTAAATGGTTATTCAGAGTCGTCTGATGTGAAATGCTCTGTTTAAGAGAAATTGTTCACAGTGGTGTTGATAGGAACCAGACGTCCACCTCTAAAAGCTCCCTCACAGGAAGTTATTACATGAAATGGTTATGAATTCACTGCCTGATGTCTGAGACATTGACTTTTGAGGTACCTCAAATAAAATGGCATTACTTGTGTTGTAGACATGGCGACGCCTGGTTCCTATCACCACCACTGTAAAGAAATCCGAGTCTCTACAATCAGCCGTTTCTTATGAACGATTGATGCAGAAAGTTTGATAAATCAGTGGAATTCCTTTTAAAGGTTATTTCAGAGCTATAGCCCTTAACTCCTATTTTTAGGGTTATTTTCACTCTCTTCAGCTTGTGACCAGTGGATTCTAATATGTTGGCATATGGTGTGCAAATTGAGCTTGTGAGAGACTCAAATATTGTTGGATTAACTAATAAATCAACTGTTCACATACAGTTACAAATATTGGATTATGACTAGAATAGTCGGTACTTGCTGACTGTCCGGAAACTAACTAGCTCTAGTGTTCTCACCTGCTGTTAGCCACATTAGCATTTATTAGCCATTACCGTGACTCCAGCTATAATTGGCGATTTCCCTTCTATCATCTTGAAAACCTCCTCTGCCGCCTCCTCGCTGGTTTTATCTTTAAAGCGCTTCCTGGCCAGCTCGGAGAGGGCCTCCCTGAACTGGCAATACGTGATGGTGCGGCTCGATTTGTTCCTAGAAAAAGAGAGCAAAGGAAAAGAGCCCACAATTAATCTATCATCATGTACACTGTGTGCTGTAAACAAAGTGTAAAGCAGGAGAACATGAGATTTGACTCCTCAGTGACGACTGACATGATGGATAGTTGAGGAAAGGAGTGAAACTATAAAGGTGTCAAGTTTGCATGGTTACCCCTGCAGTGTAATGGCCTCAACTGGGTTTCCAAGGAGAACAGAACCCATAATAAACACAGCCATGTGTGATAACACAAACAGGCCGGTTCTGAGGGCTGTCCTGCTGCAGGCCGCAGTCCGAGCAGCCTTTTGCTGTTTGGGAAACATTGTCCGAGTGGATAAAATCTAAAATCTCTGAATGTCCCTTCCAGCTATGATGCGTCCCTATGATGAGATCTCGAGTCTTTATCTTACAGGCAGTCAAAAAGAAGTTGACCAGTGACATACACTGAAGAAAAAAGGACGGTTTGGACGGGATTGGTTTTACGTGGGGAAGTGGAGTCATATAATTTTACCACAAGATGTCTGTAATGTTTATGACCGATTCTCACAGAATAAGAAATCTCTGTCCTGCACATGGCACTGTCCTGCGCCTCACTGCACACCGTCCATCAATGTGTATAGTTCTGCAGGCCACTGTCTTGGAGTCTTGGAGATGTCAGTCAAGAGTATTCATTAGAATAGGCCACACCCAGACACTTTTCAGCTGTTTTTTGAGTTTTGTGTTCAAACGTCTTGTTGAACTTTGGTTTAAAAATTCCAAATTTTCTACTTGTGCATTTGCGTACTGTTCGTCACTGTACTCTTCACAGGTACAAAAATACCACAGGCCGTCGACAGGAATGAGTCTCATTTCATTTGTTTCATTTCAGCTTGTGCCTTTTTTTTTTAGATCCCCTCTCTTTTTATTTACCTCAATAGCTGCCTTCCTCACCTCTCACTCACTGTTCAGACACCTCAAACTCGGCCTCACAGCTGATCAGCGGTCAGGAGATAGACCATCGTTTGGTTAGCCGCATGAGAAAAGGTCCTCCCCCGACCGCTGCTGCTAACTTGCTTACAGCTTAAGGCTTCTGGGTGGAACTCAGGCTTGTGAAATTTGGTTCTGCATTACATTCATCAGTCTTCTCACATACTGTGTATACATCTGTACCGTGGCAGTTCAGGACGAGTACACATACTGTTACATCCCTGCTGCGTGTCGTTCAGCACTTTGTACCACTCTACACTGCACTGTGTGCCGTTCAGTACTTTGTACTGCTCTGAACTGTGTACCGCTCTGCATTGCGTACCATTCTGTACTGCGTGCCATTAAACACTGTGCACCGTTTTGCAGTGTGCTGCGCACCGCATACATTTGTACCGTTCTGCACGGCACTGTGTGCCATTCTGCACGGCACTGCACACCATTCTGCACTTTGTACAGTTCCGCACTGCATGTCGTTTAGCACACTGTTCCGCACTGCACTACTTCTGCACTGCATACCATTCTGCACGGCTCTACATACCTTTGTACCATTCTGCGCTGCATACTTTTCCACACTTTATATAGCTCCACACTGCATGTTGTTCAGCACTTTGCACAGTTCTGCACTGCATGCCATTCAGCACTTTGTATTGCACTGCACTGCATACCATCCTGCACTGCATACTGTTTTGCACTGCACAACATACGTTTGTACCTTTCTGTGCTCCGTACTATTCTACACTTGACACAGTTCCACACTGCATGCCGTTCAGCACTTTATACAGCACTGCACTGCATACTGTTCTGCACTGCATACCATTGTACCGCTCTGAGCTGCATAACATTCCTCACTTTGTACAGTTACGCACTGCATGCCATTCAGCACTGTGTACCACGCAGCATTCCGCACTTTGGTACAGTTCCCTAAAAATATTTTGAGGGTTTTACACTTTTTATTGCTGGGACTTAAAGCGAACAGAACAATTGGGCCCTTTCAAAAGCATCACTGCCTGACACATGCATCTGAGTAGTCCTCTTTGACTGCCAGTGTAGATTCTAGAGCAGATACCTTTAGAATGAGACACTGTACCAGCAGGTACAGGGTTCTAGCCACTTCACTCCAAACACTTCTGGATGTTTATGGTGTTTCCTCAAATGTGTTCACCCCCACTAAGGGCCACCGCACCACATCTCACTTCCATGGCAAAAAGTGCATAGTAACACAAATACAAACAGCCATCGCCGTGGTGATGAATCACCTAAACAAAAGTCCATAAAGCTTGCGGTCTCCCTGAGTAACCCAGGCTGTCATAGCAACAGGCTTGGGTAAACACGCCCCCTTTGGGTTTATTATTAATTTGAGCTGTTGGGCGAGCGGGTGGTTTTGTTTGGGCGATCCTTCAGCGCTCCATTCCTCTCTGCCTGCTCCACACTGCGTAATGTCACAGAGGAAATTCTCCAACTCCCAGCGGACCGGTGTGTGTGTGTGTGTGTGTGTGTGATTATGCGTGTGTTTGTGCATGTATGCGAGTCATGTGCTCCGCAATAAATCATACACAGAACAGAACACGGAGGTGAGTGTCTCATAAATACAGCCTGAAGACAAGAGAAAATCAGCTTCTTGAACTTTTCAACTTTTTGTGTAGAAATGATGGTGATCTTAAAATGATGCCTTTTGGGTAGAGCTGCACAAAATCCAGCTTACTAATCTCGTTATCATGATACTAGTGTTTGCAATATTAATGTCATAGAAGGCTGCAGTATGCAAATTAGCCCTATAACCAATCCCACTGATGGGCATTTCTAGCTATGAGTGGAAAGAGTGCAGTTCTGATAATGCGGTTGCTTCCTTAGGGCCATAGCCAAGGGTATCACAGGCCTACACAAGCAAATTGAGATGGAATGTTCATTGGGCTGATTTTTTTAAGATAATGAACTTTGATTTGTTTTCTGCGAGTTGCTGTCACTGTGTTATGGCCAATCAAAATCATTATACTCTCCGCCAGCCTCCGCCTCATTTTCTCAGCCCTCCAATCACTGCTCAGCAACCGTTGCCATCTGCCATTGCCTCAAGCCTTCGGTTTGTTACCTGTGTCTGGCATGCCCTAGTTAGCTTAAGGATACCATGGTCCTCGATAATTTTGAGGTGTTTTATGAGATTCAGTGTGGAAACAGCAGTGCGACTACACAATCAGCACTGACTGGCTCTTAATGTTGCTAGTAGAGATGGAAGGATCGATTGGCTATGTATCGGGCCGATTTTCAGCCCAAATATGAGAGCAGCGATTGGCTGATATTTCTTTAACTTAGCCGATCCTGAGAGCTGATGAGTGGCATAAAACATATGAGCCATATTTCGCCTCAGGCTCCAGAATGTAAGCGCTGCACCATTTAAGGTGGAATGGGAAAATTCCTTTGAGAAGCCGGTGAATAGGAAGCCACCTTCAGTCTCGTCATATCTATTTCACGAATGAAAAACATTTTTCCTGAAGTATGTTACATATTTGGCTCCTGTTATGCTGGAAACTCACTGTGCTCACTGAACCAGCAGAGCTGTAATTAATGCGGTTTGTCCTCAAAGCTTTGAGGATTCGTTTCTGTTAGCGTCCGAGCGCTAATCTCATCTTATGCTGCACTAGGTTGTGTAGGTTGCGCCGATTGTGTAAGCTCCGGTTATTTCTATGGTTACGCTTACCTGAAGCAACAGAATGTAACCACTGTACCATTTAAGGTGGAACAGGAAAATTTGAACAAGAAGCTGGAGAAAAGGAAGGGGACTTGCTGTTGAAAGAGTTGAAGGCATGAAAAGGGATTAAAAGGGAACAGTTGCTCTGTTTCTGCTTGATAAGTGGACAACAAAGTTACTTTTGCAGTTTCACAGAATCAGTAGGTCAGTATTGTTTTGTCCTGGTTCATAATGTTTGTGGGATGTATTTGTTTTGCTATTGAGAATCACTTCTAGGCTTTTCAATGTGATATCCAGTCCCGCCCTCGATTGGTGTCAGCCAAAAGGCGATCGTATCGGCCTCAAAAACACTCTCTAGTTGCTAGCCAGTCTGCTTTTTTAGTCTCGTTCCAGTAGCTGCTCAGTTTAAACGACAAGGTCTGCAGTTGGCTATATTAGCAATTAGATGAAAAATTAGAGTTGCCACAGGGCAGCAGTTACATTCTGGCGCCTCAGGCATTATTTAAGGTGGAACGAGAAAATTCAAATAAGAAGCTGGCGAATGAGAAGCGACTTTCAGCCTCGTAAAAAGTTGAACGTTGAGGGACATTTTACAAGAAACTGTTCTACTTTTGTGGAAAAGTTTCCTGCTGGAGATGCGAGAAAAGCAGCTACAGCTGAGCTAAAGCTTAAAGCAGAGCAAAGTAAGTCTGCGTTTTTATTTGTATTATATTTTTAGCCTATACTAGCACATCAGCACATACTGAGACAGATTTACAGCCAAGATGGTAAAATGAACATATAATGTTGTGGCTCCCAAGGTGGTTTGATTTTTGTTGAAAGGACAAAGTGGCTCTTCTTAACGTTTGGGTTGGCGACCCCTGTACTAAGTGATGTGGGTCACTTTCTGCAGAAAAGTCCTCACTGACATTTTGATTCTAGTTACCGCCCTGATCAGTGTTGTTTACTGTGTGCTGTGAGCATCCTGACCCATCAGAGTTCCAGATGAGTTTCTGTGGGTGTGTGGAAGAATCAAGGTCATCATAGTCCAACAAAAGTCTATTATTTTGTTCAAAATTAGGGCTGTTTCACAAACAGTGTTATTTTGTTTGAGTCCTGGAGCCCGGTTTTGGGTAATCTGAGTGCTCATATTATGCGGCCCTACTGTGAGTAATTTGAGTGCTGACCACTACAGAGGAGTACTATAGATGGTAAATCCTGTGTTCCTTTGTCTGCATAACAGTGATGGGAATGCAGGTCCTGATAATCGTTTTAAGACAAAACAGCATTGCATGCTGTGAAAACAGGACAGTCTTGGTTTCCTGGCTCTGTGTAAATTCACTTAGCTTCAGTGTTTTTTTCAGACAGCCCCTTAGATGTTTGCCCATATCTCTCCAACTTCTGACTCTACAAATTGACAAGATAAACCCCTAAAATTTTAACTTCTAGTGAGTTTCTAGTTATCTTCTAGTAATCTTACCCCGTTTAGCTGAATGTCTGAGTCAGGGATGTTTCAGTCACATTTTAAATAAAAGCAGACCCTCAATCACCTCCTGCTGTCTAGTCCATCACATCTGAAATTGACCACTTTGATTTCAAGGCCGCAGACATAAAAGAATGGCCAACACGGACACCAGAGTGACGATGTTGGTCAGCAACATCAGCCACGGCAACAAACTGTGGACCAGCTTTTATCGAAGTGTGACTGACTGTAAAATGATCCAAATTCGAGCAGTGTTTGGCAGTCAGAACACATGTATGAAATAAATGATATGAGAAATTCAACAATTTTTTTTTTATTACTGTTGATTTTCTTTGGATTTTTCTACAAACTTAAATAATTCTGATCAAATTAATGCAGGCTTGTCTTTAACCATGTCATATCAGTGGATGAGCTGTATGCTTTTGTTTGATTGCAAATGGTTTCACAACCACAATATGCAGCAATATAACTGCAATAAGATATTGTGCTGCTCTATTGGGAGCCACTGTGTACACTCAATGCCTCAGTCCGACAGTGTTGTCTTGAGAGACTGTGGCTCTGCGATCAGCGTTAAAGCAAGTCTCTGCTGGCGATGACGTTGAATCTCTCTCAGTGCTCCTGTACGTCTCCAGCCGTGATTAAAAGACGATTTGCCTCTTTGTTTCTGGGGCCCTGCATCGCTTTCGCCTGGAGAGGAAGACCCAGTTTCGTCTGGCTCCCCTCCCCCTCCTCCACTGCAGCCTGGTATACATTTTATAGCCTAGGCCTTTAAAACACATGCACTCACTCCCATACACATACATACATATATATATATATATATATATATATATATGTATATATATATATATATATATATATATATAGTATCTGTATGTTATGTAAATTCTACTTCTTATCCTGATCTTACCCTTAGGAAACGTGGAGTTTTATAGAAGCACATTACAAAGTTAGGCCCATTTTGTTGGTCCTATAAGTTAGTCCTGTTTTTCTCTCTCTCACACACACACACCTGCCAACAGCACACACACTTGTATTGCCAAGTCTATTGCTCTGTTGCAGTCACACATCAAAACACTCAGGTCTGCAGCAAAAACCAGCTTCACCTCTAAAACAAAAGCACCAAAGCAGCACTTTTTCAGCACGTGGCTGTTTAATGACAGTTTGTCGTTTAACTGATCAATGATGGAAGAGACCAGCTCCTGCGTTCTTCATGTATACTGGGAGTGTGTGAGATTTAGTGCTGTAGGTAGACAGAGTGTCTGTGCTGGCTTGCTTTGATCCCACTGTGTCCCGACGCTGTCGAGCAGAATAATCTTTATTCTGGGGGTTCAGTCAGGGCGAAGCAAATCTCCTGAACAGAGCCCTGCTCAAAATCACTCAGGCCACATCCTGGTGCATGTAAACTAACCAACCACCAGAGTATTTTAAATGCTTCGTAGACGCAAGTCCTCTTCACTGTGAAAACCTGCACTTCGGTTTTCTACGCTAAGGTCGCATTAATAAAAATCTGGCCTAGTTTAGACACCATTGAGTCACTCTGGCCTGCAGACATCAGGATTATTCAGAATGAGCCATCATGACCTCCTGTAGCTTCGAGCACTGTGAATGTGGACCTGAATCAGAAGGGTCCACGATTCTCCCCTGATAAAAAGCAAATATTGTGTTAAAATTTAATTACAATGTAATTAAATATATTACTTTGCGATAGCATAGAAAGGTCAGAAGCTTTTGCTCGTTCATGTAGGTAAAGATCATAATTGTTGACTGGGCTTACAGTTGCTTCAGGATACACTGCTTCAGAGTTTTAATTAAGTGATTTTGACTGCTTTATTGTGATATTCTGGGTCACAATCAAGAAAGTAGTCTTTTATTTAAGAGTAAAGGCTAATTTGTCAAGGACCCCGTGCTCAATAACTGCTAGTGATCCAGGGCACCCAGTTTGAGAACCATCAAGGCTTAATAAGATCCTCACTGTACATTCTCAAAATCCCTATAATAAAAGTAGAGATTAGCATTAGTAGAGTAGCGCTATTCAAGCTGGATTAGCCTTCCCAGAGGGGCTTGTGTAATGTAATGTGGAGGAATTCACTGGCTGATTTGGACAGGATAAAGTGTCTGTGTAATTTCCCAAATTCCCACAGATAAACCAGAATGAACGGTCATAGCTCAGATGTTCACATCAGAATTATTACTATTAGACTGTAAAAACTACACACACTGCAGATTCACACTGGATTAAAATCACTCCACAATTATTACTGTCAGACTGTAAAACTACACACTGCAGATTCATACTGATCTCATAGTCACTTAAATTATAGGGCCCCTAGTAAAGCTACAGCAGTAGACCATTAATAAGACTCCATATTAAAACCAAAGATGGCCTACTTGACTTTGGAGAAGACTATGTCCACGTCCGTGAGCGTGATTGTTTTGCCATCTATGACACCACAGTCCTTGCACAGCTTGGACCAGTTTTTGCCGTGCATTTCCTTCCCTGTGGCTCGTGTGTCTCCGTGGATGGCGAAGCGTCGGAAGGCCTCCTCCAGCGCCGTGAGCTCCACCGGCGTTTTGGCTCCTGCGCCTCCGTCACTCGTTCCGTTTGACTCCGTCGATAAACGCTTGGCACGCTCTTTCGAATGCTCGCTTGGAGGCCGCAGGGGCGTGCTGTTTGGGACGGGGTGCTTGGCAGTCTGAACTTTAAACTCTTCCATGGTGCTGAGGAGAAAGAGAGCAGCAAGGTAACAAACAGCTTTCATATGCAGACCTAATGCTATACTTTTTCTCATCACCAACTTCCCCTCCACCCTCTGAGCAGCCCATTCAGCTATAAGGGCCAGGTAAGATAACATTAATGTCAATGTGAGCTAACGTTCACTTCAGTTTGAAGAGATTATCATTTACTGAAATCAGTTACAGTCAGTATACACAGACAGTGAGTGTGCTTACATGCACTTAATAATCTGATAACTGCAGAAAATCAGATTTTGACAGTAATCCAATCAACACATTTACATGCACTTGAGTAATCAGATAATGGGGAAACTCCGGGTCTACATGAATCAGACAATAATCGTATTTCTGCTTTGCAACGAGCCAATAAACTTCCAAAAGCGTTTTGTTGAGTCTCGCAGCAACGCTGCTCACTTATTTCCGGTCTGTTTTCACACATGCGAAAGAAATCAGAGTAAGAGTTTACATGCACTGAGAAATCTGATTACTGAGCTAAAATCCAGCTCTCTTTAGTGGATTTCTTATCAGGTTTCTAGATCGGAGTTTGCTGTTTACATAACTGTAGAAATCTGATTATGAACGGATTATCGAGTGCTTGCACTCAGTGATAAATAATCACACATGGCTATCTAATGCGAGCTGAAAGTATAGATCCTAAGTGGTTGGTTAGCTCTTTGCAGTAGACAAAAAACTGAAATGTACCTTGGCGTATGGCACTGCCTGACCTCTACAGTTCTGTATCAGTTTCTCTACAGCAGTGTTTCTCAACCCTGGTCCTGGAGGCCCACTATCCTGCACATTTTAGTGTTTTTCTGCTTTAACACGTCCACTTTATCTTAATAATGGGCTGTTAATGAGCTGATTAGTTGGATCAAGTGTGTTGGGGGCAGGGAAAACACTAAAAAGTGCAGAGCAGTGGGCATCCAGGACCAGGACCGACAAACACTGCTCTATAGTAATGTGCAAAAATCAGTGACCATCATTCTTTTATCTCCATTTCAGTCAAAATGAGCAACATGTACAAGTACAAAGCCGAAAATGTACATTAACAGAAAATAATACAAAAACTAACTAAAAATAATATCAGAATTTTCAGTGTCCACTCTTTGCCTTTATTACAGCTTCTATTCTTTTTAGGAGACTCACTTTCAGGTTTTCAAAGAAACCTGCTGGGATACTTTTCCATATCGCCAAAGTACAGTCTTAGAAGTTGGTTTAGCATTTTCAGATTCTCACGTTTCAAGTAATCCCAAACTTGTTCGGTGATGTTGAGGTGTGGACTCTGGGATGGTCAGTCCATTGCTCTGAGAACTACTTTGCAAACTCTGTTTTGATTTATCTTATATCTAATCTCCTCAGACATATCACCTGAGAAAATAATAACTTGTGCTTACAGGCCTTTTTTATTGGAAGTTAAATGAATGATGGGTGGTCTCTGACTTTTGCAGTGCTGCCCATTATATATGGCAGGGGTCAGCGACACAAATGTTAAGAAGAGCCAGTTTGTGTCATTTCAACAAAAATCAAAGCACTATGGGAGCAGCAACATTTTATGTCCATTTTACTAATTTGACGTTTTACCATCTTGGCTGTAAATTTGTCATAGTATGTGCTAAAGTCCTAGTATAGGCTAAAAAAAAAAAAAAAAAAAAAAATATATATTATATATATATGTATGTATATACACACGTGTGTGTGTGTGTGTGTGTATATATAAAATATATATATATATAAAAATGCCTTATACTTTGCTCTGCTTTAAGCTTTAGCTCAGCTATAGCTGCTTTTCTCACATCTCCGGCAGGAAACTTTTCCGCAAAAGTACAACAGTTTCTTGTAAACTGTTCAGGCTTAAAGGTCGGTGAATTATCAGTTATACATTAATTCCAGTGTTTAAGACCATTTATCCTTAAAACTGAGTTTAAACTGTTTGTTAGAGCAAAGCTTTATTTTATTGCAAAGCATTGTTTAACTGCAACAGAGGATTAGTTCTTTTCTACCTTTAAATCTAGTTCTGCTGTGGGGCCGCAAGGGGTCAGTAAAAGAGCCGCAAGGGGGCTGTAAAAGAGCCACAAGGGGTCGGTAAAAGAGCCACATGCTGCCGACCCCTGATATATGGGGATGTGCCGCTGCTCTATAGTTTTGTAGATTCATTTCCTCACATCAAATCTAGAGAGTACAAACTGGTAGGAACGTCCCTTGACCATTCTGTGAATTGTAATGCCTTCATTGTGGTGGGAGTCTGGGAGTACCTTTGTTTTCTACAATCGAAATACAAGGCAAGATGACTTTGATCAAAACAAGATCAAAGCCATTGCATGTTGGTATTGCCACTGTGTCCTTCACCAAGGCACTTCATCCCAAGGGCTTTGGTACCCATTTGTTATTTGCAGTTGACGCAATTTCTGAGAAGTCTCACAAATAGGACCAGAAGCTCCTTCCACCGAAGCTGTATTGCAGACTTGTGTGTATCTTAGACCAGTGAACGCCTTAATTTTAGTTGTAAACACTAGTCGTGGGCAGTACAGGTCATTTCATCCAGCCATAAGCCTAATTTGATCCCTGGGGACTGTCCCTGTAAGTGGCGTTGGTAAGAGATAGTAGATAAGAGGGTCTGATATCTGGTAAATAAATATTATGGGACACCGGAGTAAGTATGCTGTTCACATGGTCAGCTGAGTCAACGAGCAGCACCCTCATGGAAATTGGCACAAAATGCGATTCACTTCATACAACAATACAAGCACCAGTTAGAATATTCTCAAATGACATGATACTAACTAGCTTCCATTGTTTGCATCCCTTTAATGATCTTTTAAGTATGTGGTTTATGGACTCGTATTTTATAATAGCTAAAGAAAATAATGGAGATTTCCATCACCTCTGAGCACAGGCACGTTTCTCTACTATGAACTATTTCACGTTAAAGCACACTGAATTATTTGTCGTCTCAGTGACTGAGTTATGTAGACATTTTGAAAAACTGGTGGAATTCCCCTTTAATATTTGACATTCTAATGTCTAGTGTAATCATTAATTTTCCTTGAACACTATCTTACATTAGCTTCACTAGTAGTACTTTACTACTAGTGTTAGTAGTACAGTCAAACCTGGTGGTTGGTGTAGTGTAGTGGGTAACACCTCTGCCTTCTATGCTGTAGACTGGGGTTCAGTCCTGCCTGGGCAAGCACTCTACACTATACCAATAAGAGTCCTTGAACAAGACTCCCAACACTACCTTCACCTACCGGTGCGAAATGATCAAATTGTAAGTTGCTCTGAATAAGAGCGTCTGCCAAATGGCATAAATATAAAAGTGAATGTAAACGTAAACCTATAAGCAACTGCTTTAGGATTCATAAAAAGCTGCCCGGCTTGTTATTCGAAAACAATAAGATAGAAGGAAACAGTAAAAAGAGCAGCTGTTAGGCTGAGGTTAGCTAGCCATTCAGCAAGCTGCTCAGACTGGAAAGTGTTTTTTTTTTTAACTCTAAAATAGTAAATATGCATATTTCGTTAGAAAAAACTTAATGACTTATGATTTATTTACACTAACTGAGAACTTTATTAGGCACCTACCTAAATAGCTTGTATTTACATTTATTGCCGTCAGCTCCACTTCCCATATACGTGAACTGTGTAGTTCTACAGTTACAGACTGTAGTTCATCTGTTTTCTCTGCATACTTTGTTAGCCCCCTTTTACCCTGTTCTTCAGTGGTCAGGACCCCCATGGACCCTCACAGAGCAGGTACTATTTGGGTGATTGATCATTCTCAGCACTGCAGTAACTCTGACGTGGTGGTGGTGTGTGTTGTGCTGGTCTGAGTGGATCAGACACAGCAGTGCTGCTGGAGTTTTTAAACACTGTGTCCACTCACTGTCCACTCTATTAGACACTCCTACCTTGTCGGTCCACCTTGTAGATGTAAAGTCAGAGACGATAGCTCATCTGCTGCTGCACAGTTTGTGTTGGTCATCCTCTAGTCCTTCATCAGTGGTCACAGGACGCTGCCCACAGGACGCTGTTGGCTGGATGTTTTTGGTTCTCAGTCCAGCAGCGACACTGAGGTGTTTATAAACTCCAGCAGCACTGCTGTGTCTGATCCACTCAGACCAGCGCAACACACACCAACACACCACCACCACATCAGTGTTACTGCAGTGCTGAGAATGATCCATCACCCAAATAGTACCTGCTCTGTGGGGGTCCTGACCACTGAAGAACAGGGTGACAAAGTATGCAGAGAAGCAGATGGACTACAGTCTGTAACTGTAGAACTACGAAGTGCTCCTATATGGTCAGTGGAGATGAATGTAGATACAGGGTAGGTGTACATTAATGAAGTGCTTAGTGAGTGTATATGCAAAAAGTATAGTGACAGTGGAAGAATGTCCTGTAATGACAGTAGTTGTCCACCTCTGCTGATCAGTGTTGCTCAGCCTTGTGCTAGTTCTGCAGGCTCTGTTTGTGCTGCATGTGAACAGGACAGTGGAGATAGCTGGCTGTGGTATGAAGCTGAATGGGCAGATGTGGTGCTCTGGCACTGAGGTGATGCGTTATTAATAGACTTGTGTGGAATTCAGGCCCAGTCAGCCGAGGTGCTAGCAGGGATCAGATGGATGCTCGAAGCGCCAGACACTCTTCCCTTCTGCATTATAGAGCACACTGGTCTACAAACGAGAAAGAATTACTGCTAAAGCATGTGAACGCTGATAACAGCGCATGCAGCAGGTAGGAGCTAACTAGTTATACGAATAAGATTGTTAGTGAAGTACACTGATCAGGCATAACATTATGACCACCTCCTTGTTTCTACACTCATTGTCCATTTTATCAGCTCTACTTACTATATAGGTGCACTTTGTAGTTCTACAGTTACAGACTGTAGTCCATCTGTTTCTCTGATACTTTGTTAGCCCCCTTTTACCCTGTTCTTCAGTGGTCAGGACCCCCATGGACCCTCACAGAGCAGGTACTATTTGGGTGCTGGATCATTCTTAGCACTGGTGGTGGTGTGTTAGTGTGTGTTGTGCTGGTACGAGTGGATCAGACACAGCAGTGCTGCTGGAGTTTTTAAACACCTCAGTGTCACTGCTGGACTGAGAATAGTCCACCAACCAAAAATATCCAGCCAACAGCGTCCTGTGGGCAGCGTCCTGTGACCACTGATGAAGGACTAGAGGATGACCAACACAAACTGTGCAGCAGCAGATGAGCTATCGTCTCTGACTTTACATCTACAGGGTGCAGATGGTTTCACACGTGCAGACTGAGAAATCCGAAAGAAATCAGAGTAAGAGTTTACATGCACTGAGAAATCTGAGCTAAATTACTGAGCTAATATCCAGCTCTCTGTATTAGATTTCTTAATCAGATTTCTAGACCTTACTCCAATCTAAGAAATTAAAGTGTGCTGTTTTACGTGACCATTTGAATAATCTGATAACTGCAGAAATCAGATAAGGATTGGATTACTTAGTGCATGTAAACACACTCAATGTTTTATAATGGTTTCCTGGCAAAATCGAATCATGAAGTGCCTAGAGATCTCCACCCCTGGTGCATGTATGCATATATATAATACTGTTTATTGCCATGGTACAACAAATTTTGGTGCATTTGTAAAAGAACAAAATATAAAGAACAAAATATTATCATTCTTAACTTTAATGTGGATTAATGTAAAAAGTTTTTGTTCCAGGTCATTTTGGCCCATGTTCACAGGATATAAAGGGAAGTCGTGTTTTTTCAAATGGTGTAAACAAATAAAAATAGCACAAAATGGAACTAAAAGGTCTGAAAGAGATTCATATATTCACTATGCAGCGGAGTAGTTTCACATATGATACATACAGAAAAATATTCACATACAGGCAGCACTCAGGCCTTTACGTGAGGAGGAAGAAGAAGCAACAAAAACTCACCTCGGCCCTCGAGGTCCCCTCCCGCTGTCTGTCCTCACCTCAGCGTGGCTCAGGTCAGCGCGTTCTCTCGGTCTCCCGGCGCAACTGAAACGACAGAAATGTCCGCTCTCAGACTCACTGCATCCAGCACAGCCATCGAGGAATGAAACGTGATGGCCGAGACGATCAAAGTGCAAAGTGCTGCACTGTTTGACTGTAATTTGTGCTGCCAGTCAAGTTTTCACTTTCACATTCACTAAAACCACAACGGCACACTGTGCTGATTAATGAGCTGTGCTGCACATGCCACGGCTTGTGGTGCACAAAGCCTTTACAAATAATCCTCATTATCATGAGCAATGTCAGTACAGTCACACTGGATTTACTGTCAGCATTCACATCTGGCATCTTGTGTAATTCACAGATTTTACTGTGTTCATTTAAACCTGTTTTATGGGTGTAAAAGTAGTGAGTCAAGAGTGCAATATGAAAATGAACAAACTTAAAACATTTTTGAAGTCAGAATAGCTGTGCCAGGCTGCTGGTTCATACATAAAATGTCTTGCATGGAACTAAAAGTTTGGTTTTTAAATGGTTTTTCACTGTATTTCTATATTTTTACATTTACTTTAATGGCCAGTCACAATACCCATTAAGAAGGAAACATCTTTCAGTATTTGTGTCCACTCTTTCCCTTCATTCCAGCTTCCATTCTTTTCAGGAGACTCACTTTCAGTTCCTCAAAGAATCTGCAGACACACCTCCAAAGTTCAGTCTTAGAAGCTGGTTTAGCATTTAACACATTCAGTGGTGTTGAGGTCTGGACTCTGGGGTGGTCAGTCCATCGTTCAGCTTCTTTGTTTGATGTGTCCGTCTCCTTTTCTCAGTGAGGTTCTTCTTGATCAGCTACACATCCTTTCAGACCCACAGCGCTGAGTCGTCTTCTCACAGTGGAAGGATGGACAGAAACACCTGTGGATGTTTTCAGATCTGAAGCAGCTTGATTTTCTCCTCTCTCTCAGAGACGAAAGCTTTAAGTGCTGTTTATCTGATGGGGGCAGTTTTGGTGTCTAGCAGGTTTTCCAGGTGGTTGTTATTTCTCTGTAGCTTTTAATCAGGTTTTAATTTTCAATTAATTTTCCTTTGACTTTCTCCTTCCTTATTCAAGTGGATTATCTTGTATCTAATATATATCTCCTGAAATATGAATAACTTGTACTTAATGTTTTGACTGGAGGTTAAATCAAGGGTGGTCTCTGACTTTTGCACTTCCTAATGCAAATATACCCAATTTTGACCTAATGAAAGGCTTTTTAAGACCTGATGAGTCAAACTGACTACGTTGTGCAGGACAGGTCAGCTCTGCCTTATAACACTAACTGCTCAGTGTCCAGGACAACAGGACACTCATTGTTTTGCACTGTACACTTTATCAGATCTGAGCACCAACATTACTGTGCATTACATTTTATTTTCCAGATATCCTCCTCATTATGTACAGCTGTGTGCATAAGTTTTGGTACGCCCGCTCAAAAAGATGACTTTTTCTCACTTTTCTATGTGGAAAATAAATTCCCCTTCAGAGAAGACAATTATGCACATTTTAATGCACAATTTATTTGATGAAATCAGTATTTTGGGGGGGAAAAAAAAACATAAAATGTGCCCTGTGCAAACGTTATGGCACACTTAGTATAGAAAATAAATAGAAATTGTGCACTAAAAACGCCTTGTTCCTTGTAGAGAATGTTACTTTCAATATATGCAATTTGAGCAAGGATGTTAATACATTTGCATACAATTGTACCACAGAGCTGCAGATTTCAAAGCAAAACCAGAGAGTATTTAGCTGTCAGCTGCCTCCAGGTAACCCTAAGGCCACTATTCATAGCTGTGGAAATGTTTTGACACCATAAATTTAACAGCCCCGCTGTTGATATAAGTGTTTTGGCAGCAGTCACTCGATTGTCTGTTTGGCCATAAACCTACCACCCATCAGACGTTTATTACTCCTATCATTATTGTCATAAAAGTGTCAAATTAACTGGCACAAATGAAAAACTTGCTACAACTAACGTTTAGTTACTTTGTTTTATTTTCCAATCACAGCCAATTAAGCGACGATCCAGCAAAGACAGCGCTCACCTCCCAGTAGCTCCCATAGCGGACCCACATTGCAACCAGGAGAACCTCAGAGAACCATGGATGTTGCCATGGCAAAAATACACCCTTACAAAGAGCCCGAAGCTTTTCCTCAGCTGTTTCAGCACAGCAGCACTCAAGCAACCCAGCCAATCACCGAAAATAAAACACACACTGGTCCTTAGCTACCAGCAGCTGGCTCTGAGCAGAACTTCACCTCCAAAACTAAACATTGGCATGATCTCACTCACGGATGGCTAAAGCTGCTTCTCTATCAGCTCCTCCTGCTCCTCCTGAATGCTGGCACTGCGACCACAACGACTCAAATCTGCATTTATCACTCCGCAGCTCAGCTCAATAGACTAGAAGTGAGCTACATAAGTACAGTCGATGTACAAGCGGCTCCTCAAAACCACTTGAAGACGTCCCTGTTCAAGAGCTTTGTGTTTTACGGCTCATTGTAGTAAGAAACAAACCTTTATTAATCTCCATCAATAATGCCATTCAGGCAGAGAAGCACTGTGGGTCCATTGTGTAGAGACGTGCCAGTCTTGTCTGGGGCACTCCACACTACAGACAGCGACATCTCCAGCTATCACAAGGCAGAGGTCACTAGCTACGTTTGCATGCACACAATAGCTTGATACGTTCCTAGTTAGTCAAAGAAACTGGACCGAATCAAGAGGTTTACAACGTTAAACGTCCCCTTCGTGATTCACCTAAGTCATGAACCCATAATGAGTTTCTCTTCATTCTCAAAAACACACAGAGGAGTGACGTAAGGAGGATTTACATCATTTTACAATAAAGGGGTGCACTCAGTGCATCAACTGTGATAGTTTTGAGGCGATTTCTTTCCAGAAATGATAAAATCGCCTCTAAACTATCAGTTTCCGGGCTGCAGCATCAGTTTGTTTCCTCAGTGACTTCAGCACTGGAAAGTTTAGCGAGTCAGCTCTCCTCATTGCTCTAGATATCACCTAGAACACTATTTTACTACACACAACATACAGAACCTCACTATATTCCTGTGGTTTAATCTTTTCACCAACTGTATGTCAGTAGTGTAAAACTGCACATTAAACAAAAAACAAATTGAAATATTAAATAAAAATTTCAGGTCACTTTTATAAGTTTCCAAATATCATAAGAAGGAATGGTTCAGCTCTTAATGTACATGATTCACTAAATCACAAATCTTTGTAAACACTATGATACGGCTTTACACAGTGAAGCTTTCATGCAGCCATGCTGCATGTTGTGAGTTGCCTGCAACATAATTTCTGTTCAACATGACAGTTTTGGTGTCTACCAGGTCTTATAGGTTAATCAGTTTTTTTCAATTAATTTTCCTTTGACTTTCTCCTTCCCTATTCAAGTGGATTATCTACTCTAATCAGAAATATCTCCTGAAAAATGAATAATTTAATCAGCCCCGGCTTTACACAGTGAAAGTTTCATGCAGCTAGCTGCATGTTGTGAGTTGCCTGCAACATAATTTCTGTTCAGCGTAACAGTTACACGAAGCAATTCGGAACTTTCAACCACCTAAAACGTATATATTTTATTTTCTTATCAGTGATTTTTAAAAATGTCATTGGATGTTAAAAATGTCTACTGACGTTGCGTGAAATTTTTGCGGACTTTCTCTTGACATTACTTTTTATATTACTTTATATACAGTCGTATGCAAAAGTTTGGGTGCCCTGGTCAAATTCCAAGTTGTTGATTTTCTAGGCGTAAATAAGTAATCTCATGATCTACAGAGACACACTCTTCTGTTCATTTTAATGCTCAGTTACTGTTTATTTGCTGAATTTAACATAATAAATATGCAAAAAAGTGAAAAAATGCAGCATGTACAAAGGCAATGGCAGAACTGATATGTAATATTTTTTTTTCCCAATATGTTAAATCCAGAAATGCATAGAAGTTGTGCTCTGAAATGTTGAAGAAATTTGAGAAAATATTTGCAGAAATATTACAATTTTTTCTCTGTAAATAATTTGACCTGGCTGTTTCAAACGTTTGCCTATGAGTGTATGTTGCTATTGCAAACAAAGTAGGGGAGAAAAAGAAAGATATTTTAGCTGAAAAATAAAAGGGGAAAAAAGTATTACAAAATATAAAGGATTCCTTTGAATTTACATTATTAAATGTTTGTTGCACATAAATAAAATGTTACATCAGCACAATTTCTGTGTTTCAGTTCACGTCTTTTGGCAAGCATTGATTCAGGTTAACAGACTGAATGGTATTTTTTTTTTTTTTCTAATAGACAATCAATAGCAAGAATATTTACACATTAATGAGAGCACTGGTTGCAACCAGTGCAGCATTTCCCTATGAAGCATGTGTGATTCAGGAGAATAAATGTATAAGGATGGAAGAAAGCAGCGAAACCCAAACCATCAAGCACCCTAAGCTAAAGCATACTGCCACGACAGGCGTCCATTTATATACTACCTCTGATGACTTTATGCGTGGTGGTAGACGGTTCGCAGATCACTATTGACAACAACGCAGCAACTTTTTTTCTTTGACAACATTTTATATTTGGCTTTGGAAGTGGGCCCTGCGCTGACGAAGTATCGTCTCACTTTTACAGATCCCTCAAGCATGTCTTTTGAATATCTGGCACTTCAGAGTACATTTAAAGGAAAATTAGCTCAATGCTATAAAACCTGGGGTTCTTTTTGTCTTAACTTAAGATCTGACAGGTCAAGATAAGATTTTTCGTATAATTCGTATTACAGACGCAAAACTGATCTTAATTTAAGAATCTTATCTTACAGCATCTTTTCTTATCTCATGTTAGGAAATCTTAATTTAGTCGATTGAAGTTGACAATCAACTGTTGTGTCTGTTTCCTAGCAAACGACCATACACGCACAGCTGAAACGTAAACATGTAATCAAGTTAGCCAGACAGCTAACGTTGGCTACCGTTACTGAAGTAAAAAGGTCGAATAAACTGTCAGTTAATCATATTGTGTCAGCTCTTCGTGCTGTTTATCAGAGCGTCGCCGCTCCCCAGTTTCAGTCTCCATTTCCCAAATGCTTTAGCCGAGCGCGCTAACGTTACTCCTCCTAATAAACAGAGACACATTCAGCTCCGTCTCCTCATTATTCACCACCATCACTGTAATATTTCATCATCAACATTAACACACAAAGATAATAAGAGGGACGGTGGAGATCGAGTCTGCAGAGTCTGAGGTTTTGAAACGCTGTTTACTCGTCAAAGCACCGCTTTCAGTGTAGATAAATGTAACGTCATTATGCTATGCTACGCTGTGCTGCCTGACACAGCACAAACCAATAGGTTTATCTTAAAGTTAAGAAAATATTTAGGATATTTTGGCAAATTAGCATGTTTCTATAATACTGTTTCTTATGTGGAAATAAGAGATTATAGACTTAAGAACTGTCGTTCTGTAATGGCTTCTGTCCTAACTTCAGTCTTAACTAAAGTCGCCATGACAACAAAGCAGATAAGATATAATCTCAGACTAAAGAATTTTCTGTAATATGGTCCCTGAAAGCTTGACAGTGGTAACTGAGGATAGTGAAAGGTTGCTGAGCAGTGACTGAAGGAAGAGATGAAGTAGACATTTGGGAAAGATGTGAAGGCTGTAACACAAGTTCTTTCACTGTGCCAATAATAAAGACCCCACCGTGAGTCAAAACAGCTGTTTAGATTTTTTGATAATTGTGCACAGGGGCCCACTAGTGGCTGGATCCCCTGGGCACTTGGCCATAAAACCCTTGGGATTATCTGGGCATGGCAATCACCTTCTGACCAAGAGTGTCAGATAATGAACTGAAGCGGAGAATGTGCTTGCACATTGTACTGTACCTATTGATTTTATGACTGTTATCAATAAAAGCATAAGTGATCCGACCTCTGCATAAGGCAAGTAATGGTGCTTTTCCACTGCATGGTATGGCTCAACTCGACTCAGATCTACTTGACTCTGCTGCTACTTCATTTTCCACTACAGATACAGTGCACACTTAATGTAGCTGGTCATCATAGCGACGTCCCATGAAACTGCCGTGATGTGAAGGAGACAGATTTTGTTCAGAAGGCAGCAAGACAGAAGACTGCTGAAAAAACAGGAGAGTTTGGGAAAAACTACATCAGAGTTCCGACAAGGAGACGATATCAGAGAACTTGTAGAGAGGAGAATTACACTCTGTTATGTTTTCAGGGTTTCACGAACGCTAGAGGGCGCTCCTGAGTAAATACAAAATGAATGGGTTTAGATGGAGCATTTGAGCAAAATCATAGTTTATAAATGCTTAAACATTTTTAATATAAAAATGTGTTCATTTCCTGAATACAGAACAGCATAAAACATTTTTAACATTCATCACTGTTTATATTTTATAGACGTTTAAAACAGCATTTCATGTACGTCCATGACGTCAGAGAGTGCGAACAGCCAATGAGCTGCTCCGCTCCCCAACCAGTCAGCACTCGGTAGTAGTAATATTAGCGTCCTGCTGCCCAAAACCCGTTCGCTGTAGAACAAAGGAAACATACAGGTGAGTTTTATTTGCTTTTTTAGTGAAATCCATCCTTCTACTTTCTAAAATTACAGGAAAGTTCTGGTTCAGTGATTAGAAACTATTTTAACTTTTCATTTTTAGCTGTTGAGCTCCATTCACCTCCTTTCATTGAGGACTCACTTGCGGGTGCCCTCTGCCATTTTGCAGTCCTGTTTAAATATAACGGGGGAAATAGGAAGTGGCCAGGCTTCTCATAAACCGGCTCTGATGATTCTGGTTGCTCAAAGGCAACACAAGAAGGTACATTAACCTGGCAGCTAACGTTAGCGTATGTGTTATATAGGCTGACCGTGACGATTCTCTTTGACCAGTCTGCAGTTTTTCCACGTCACCTTTTGATATCTGCTCAGCTTCCTTGGAACCTCAATGAAGGTGATGCCAAAATTAGTACCAGGTACCAGGTTTGCTTAATGGAAAACCGAAAAAGCTAGTCGAGTTGAGCAATTACTATGCAGTGGAAAAGCGGCTTACGACCTTAGTCATACCATGATATGTGCTGTTTACATAATAATCCACTGTTGCACATGTAAACACAGTTACTGAAAATGCAGGTCAGTAAACAAACTTTTTACACATGAGATCTCAAAGCTCTTACATTAATTCAGAACAAACTGAAATCCATCCGGGCTTTTGACAAAATAGTGAGTCATTCTGTACCACGTTGCACACACCAGTCATCACCTGAGTGATTCCATTCCCGTGAAAAAGCTGCCTTGTCTGTACTCGTATTTTGCCAAGTCACTTTGATTTGACCTGTGGGAGTTATGAGGAATCCTCACAAGTACAAACTTGGCACTGGTGCCGATAGCTTATTACTGCCATCTGTCTCTCCTTCACAGAAGAATCCGTGGCATCATTTTCTGCCATGAATCAGAGATGTAGTCTATGGAATATGCAGGCATATCCCATGTATCTACTATGATTTAGGGGCAGTTGTGGGCTAGAGGTTAGGGAACCAGCCTTGCGATCCCCTGAGCCGACAGTCTGTGACTGAGGTGCCCTTGAGCAAGGCACCTGACCCCCAACTGCTCCCCGGGAGCTGTGGATATGTGTGCTCACTGCCCCCTAGTGTGTGTGTTCACTAGTGTGTATGTGGTGTTTCACTGCACGGATGGGTTAGATTGCGGAGGTGACATTTCCCCACTGTGGGACTAATAAGGGTCACTTAATCTTAATCTTATACCCACTTAAAAACAGACAACGATACATAAGAGGTTCATTTATTCCAGCCAAAAACTTCCATTCATCAGTGTTTGCTCACAGCAGTACCCAGCATTGTGCAAGTACATCAAACAACCATTGGGAATCACAATTTTTTACCTGTTTTGGGGATTTTTTTAACCCAATTTTCTACCCAGTTTTGTCATGGCCACTACTTTCTGCTAGCTAAGTCTCCCCATCACACAAGGATGAAGACTAGCATGTTATATATCCAATTCACACAAAGC